GAGAGTAATTTCAATCTGATCAGTGTTTTAGAAGTTAGGTTAATCCATGACATTCCATTACCAGTAACATTGCAATATATTAACAGATTTTCACTAATTTTCCTCAGATTATAAGTACATATTAATCAACTTTACCTATTACAGATTTTTCTATGGATTTCAGAAACATTTAATTCAATCTTTCTACTTAACGAATATATAAATTATGTGACTGGCTAAGTCTTATTAACCTTAGAAAATTAGATATTCAAAAAGTCACTCTTTTCACTTTAAACATATATTCTAAGCTAGCCATGTCTGCCAGATAGTGTGTAGCCCATTAATAAAATATAAAAAATATTGTTTTAATTTATAGCCAAGCAGCAGTAAAACATATTTTAAACAAGATACAACTTAAGTTTAGATATTGAAGAATTTACCAACTTTCATTGGGGGTAAATATATCTTGATGCTTTTTAAGATGAAAAAATAAATAATTGAATTAAGTTTTGACAGTCTGAATTTCCTGCTTGAGATTGTATTACTCTTGCATATCTTGGTGGGTGCACATTTTTAAGTGATTTTTAAAAATTTAAATCATAACAGGATTTCAACTAACCAATATAATCCATGCAATATAGGTTTTACCTTTCTATCAATGTGAGTATGTTTGAGCCCTCTGTTTCCATATATTCTACACATATTCAGATATCTCTCTTGATGTTTTCAAAGGGAATCCATCTTGGAAATGTATTTGACAGAAATTAGTACTCCATATAAAACGTTCAAATCCTACTGTTAATGTTTCTTAGCCAGTGAATCCATTTCTGCAATATTGTTATTTAGGAATCCAACTTCATGTACATATTTAAATTAAAAATATCCATAATAGGTAAAGTACTTTGATTCCTAATACAAAATCATGAAAATTCATTTATCCCCCTTCAACTTTAAACTGTTATATCTAGACTTCTACTTCATTATTCGAGAAATACAAACTTGGGAATGTTGAAGAAGAGATTAAATTACTTAAAAATGACAAATTGGGCTAAACATAGAGTGGTGTTATATGGTCTAAATACAATTTTTTAAACTGACCGAATTAAGCAATGCAGTAACAAGGAACTTAGCCTTAGCTGATTTCAGTAAGTGAAGCCGTTGCTATAGAAATACATTAATCATTGTTGGACAGCTAAGTGAGCCAGGAGGATAGCATAAGCAATACTGTGTATGATACATCTTTGAATTTTTGAGAATACGAATGTCACTGGTGCCCCATTATTGGAGAATACGGTTGTGAAATGTCTTGGATCGGCATTTAACCGGTGTTTGGATACGACTTTTAGCGGTGACAGATGCAAAAGGTAATTCGAAATACCAGAATGTCGAGACTCTTCAGACGCTTGCAGTAGGTCTCCAATATAAAGTGGGAAGAACTAAATAAGAGTAGATGACTTATAGTGTCAAGAGCCTATTTTTTCCAAAAGAATTCAGTTAAACGTAGACCGAAAACAATAGCCTTGTTTGATTATAATTATGTTGTCCCATTTCAGACCTTTTGTAGATTTGTGGTTAAATCAGTTGACCCGATTTCAGAATGTTGGCGAAAGTAATGGCAAAATATGCTTTTAGAACATTTTTATCGAATTTCAGTAATATATTAAGACAGGTTTTATACCAATACATTACAATGTATGGAAAGAAAAGTTTATCATGTATTTGAAAATATAAACATATTATAAAGTTTGTCAGTCTACCCCTAAAGGTGTTCAACAGCTGATTGGTACTAGCGATCCCGATGCCACAAAACGCAAGACACTGTTGTGCGCGTTGTGTGAATTTAACACCACACACAAAAATAGTCTTACAAGGCATATGTCCAGAAAGCACACCTCTGTTTATGATGTTTTTGAATGCGATCAGTGTGGCAAGATTTATAAAAGCAAGGACACCTTGAACGATCACGTTCGAGGGTACCATAATGGAGAGTTTAGGTGCTCTCAATACATACACTCGTATTCTACACCGGTAACATTCCGATCACATCAATCAGTGGGCCGTGTTACACTCGTTTCCATGACATTTCACAAGCGTATCCTCTGGGAAAAGATAAATCCTTCTCTTGCTCACTCTACGGGGGATCATATAAACTGAGATTTGGAGATCTTGTTCAGGTTAGCCTTAAAAAGGTTTGGGATTTGTTTTTTTCTACTGTGATATTAATGATTTGGCTCTAAGGCGAGAAATCTGTACTTTCTTATTGATATTCCATTATGAACAGTTACATTGCTAAAATAGCTCATGTTTAACATTTTTTTGTTACATTACTATTAAATACAGCATAAACTATATTCAACAAACACAATTTCAAAAAGGATAATATAGAAGTTAACCTTTATTTTCCATTTTTAAGCAGCTGTGCCTCTCATGACTTTCCAAAACAGGTCATATTCGTAGCCTAAGAACCGGTCATACTCAATATACGCGGATACTCTAGTATCCCGTGTTGTTAAAGCGCATGGTGTAATTCCAGCAATTATGTCGCAGGTTTTAAAATTATAGATTCTTGAGATCTTCTTCAAAGACTGTAAGTAAGATATTTAGGATTTAATGGTGTCAACAATTTTAGTAAAGTGATTATTAATAATATAGAGTTATGTAGGTCTAACTACCTTTGCATTTTTAAAGACAATATTTTCAGTTGATATGTCTTATATTAACATTATAAGATATTGCTCATCAGTAAAGATTTGATTGTCTAGAATCATTTACTTTGTTACCATGGTCATTGTGTCATGTAAGAATCTGAAATAAAGAGCAATTTCAAATGAAGGCATCTATATATATTGTATTTGTGGACCTTGCACTGTGTATATTAGGGCTCCAACAGTAAATTGAGACCACAGTGTTGCACAGTTCTCAGGGCTCAATTGGTAAATTCAGGTTGAAAACTGTATGGTTTGCATAGGCGTAGCACCCGGTACGCTGGGTACGCACAGGCGTACAAGATGGTTGCAAACTCACTCCAAATACAAGCAAATTTCAAAATTTTCCTGGAGGGTTAACCCCCCAGACCCCCCTAAATGCTCGTTTTTTGCTTTGCTCAAGTCTTTTTCCCGTGGTGGCATACTACTTAGAAATATAGCGCTTCGCCCATGGTTTGGTCTTTTTATTTCAATAAAGATCATGAACCGAAATGAAGAGAGAAATTATGAAACCTTTGGAGCCCTAGTTTATTTACTCTATATAATGGCAGTTATTCCTGTTTTCTAAAAATTCAGTAAGTCTTTGGTATTAACCATTCGATTTTTTAATGCTTATTTGTTTATTTCTCCCAAACTGATTTCAACTATTTTCATTTTAAATCAAACCATGGGCTTTCATGATCAAACTTAATTGTTATAAAAACAGATTTTAAATATATCCCTTACCTTATGAAGTTTTGTAAATATATCCCGTAATCCCGTATTTGATTATCATGCCATACAATTGAGGTAGCATCTGCCTATTTGTATGCATGCAAGCTTTTACCAGTGAGCTTCTGTCTGAGGTACTTCAAGGTATGATTACACAATAATACAGGGTGTTCATTAAGTATAACATTGAAGGTTGTCCAGTTTTACTTTAAGCACTCATTGCTCTTGTTTTCAGGTCTTAACTAACATAAAACCCAACAATGGTTGTTATTGCCCAGGTAAAAATATCCGGCCCGTAGCCAGGATTTGCCAAGGGGGTTCACTTTTGGAAAAAAATTCTAAGAGGGTTCACGCTTGACAATTTTGGTCCAAAAATGGCCAAAATCACTTAAAAAGTGCCCAGAATGGCGAAAAACTGCATTATTTTGAATTTTTGGCCAGGGTGTTAGCTCAAATCTATCGAACCCCCTTGCTACAGGCCTGAATATCGAGTGATTCATAGTCAGCAATTTGGGGATTTCTGATGAAATAACTGCAAAAGTATGATGAATATTTAATTGATGATATTTTGGCTCTGCTTTGCCTGACATTTAGTAAAATGTTTATTCGGCATTAGTAACAGTTCAGTAGCAACTGTTACACTTTTATAATTTGCAGTCAGTTAAAAAGTTATGTTCATATAAACTTGAAAAGCTTACAGTGAATCTTACACTTATAGACATTGCCATAATTTTGTGTAATCCTATATGGCAATTTGTCCAAAATAAAAGAAACTGAATTATCAATTACTGCACTAATATCCAGGCACCATGACACGTTTGCACTGTGCACGAGTCAGGCGTTGAAGCAAAGTATCTAACATATGATATTTATCTCTTTTAAGAGGTAATTTTAAAAGGAACTCAATGATTCCTCATCATATCCTAACATTAGAACATTAAACTTCACTAATATCCTACTGATTTACAATGATATCCCTTTTTATGTAACATTATGTACTGGAATGTGAGCTTTTCAAATAAACATTGACGATGCTTAACTACAAACGTGAACAGGAAAACTTAAACAGATGGATGACATCATAGAAAATTAAGTGGTAGTCACAAAGATTCAAAATTGCGTAACTACAAAAGTGAACAGGAATACTGAAACAGATGGATGACATCATAGAAAATTAAGTGGGAGTCACAAAGATTCAAAATTGCGTAACTACAAACGTGAACAGGAATACTGAAACAGATGGATGACATCATAGAAAATTAAGTGGGAGTCACAAAGATTCAAAATTGCGTAACTACAAACGTGAACAGGAAAACTTAAACAGATGGATGACATCATAGAAAATTAAGTTGGAGTCACAAAGATTGTAAAAATATCACTTTTGATGTTATGTATCCAAAAGTCAATTGCATTGATTTGCTTTACATTAAAAGTTTTAGCAATAATGCCTAGAATGCACTTTCACCACATTAGCCCAGTACCTACATGTACTACCTGTAGTACTACATGTAAATATTAAACACAATCATCTTTTCAGTTTCAAATATACATCAAGTTGTAATACTATTCGTAACATCACTAATTAATATTATATTCTAATTTCAGTTGAGGGAACTAGAGGCTCTTTTTGGATGTGATGGTCAACCAACTAAAATCATATGGACATCTTCCAGTAATGCAATCAAGGCATCATTTGACATCAATGACTTACAGCATAAAAATGGGTGAGTATCTGAAAGGAATCCAAAGGGATGGAGAATGTTAAATGTTGCAAGCATTCTTTTCAAAGGTCATCCAAATTTTTACCTTATAGTCCTAATTTCATTTTTATGTCACCCCCAAAGGTGATGACATTTTGTTATAGTTTCCAACATTATTGAGGACAGAGTTGGTGTTTGGTAGTCGGCGTTCAGCATTTGGTGGTTGGGATCTGTAAAAAATGCTAGGTGGTGACATTTTGCATGTTAATGCCTCATTTGAAAAGGAATTGAAATACTTATATCTGTTGAAATATAGAAGTTATTATGAAGATTTATGAAGATTGAAATAGAAAGTATCCAAGCAAATTCACTTGTACATGTAATTAATCATATTGGGGCATGCATTGTAATTTTGTTAATTTGTCTCTTAAATTCAAATGAGCTGTCATATTTTCGGCATTATATATGTAGTTGAGCGATTTTGTTCATATTTGGTATGTGAATACTATAAGCATGGCACACTGTCTAATGACACCTTTGGTAGAAGGCGGCCATTTTAAAAAATGGTGGCCATTTTAACGTATTTTACTATAACTCGAAAAGTAATGGAGGGATTTTGTTCATATTTGGTATGCGAATACTTTAAGCACAATGTCTAATGACATTTTGGATAATAGGCGGCCAGTTTGATAACTGGCCGCCATCTTTACGTGTGTTATTTTACATTCTTCATTGTAACTAAAAAGTAGTAGAGCGATCTTGTTCATATTTATATGTGAATACTATAAGCATAGCACACTGTCAAATGACACTTTGGGGAGTAGGCAGCCATTTTGAAAAATGGAAACAATTTTTTTTTTACGTTTTTTACTATAACTCGAAAAGTAGTGGAGGGATTTTGTTCATATTTGGTATGTGAATATTTTATGGTACATGGTACATTGTCTGATACATGGTACATGGTACATTGTCCAATAACATTTTGAGTAGTAGGCGGCCATTTTAAAAAATGGCCACCATTTACATTTTACATGTACGTGTGTGCGGTTTTTTGAAAAATTTATATGTGGCTACTTAAAAGCATATACTTCTTCTGATGACAACTTGGCTAGTTAGCAACCATTTTGAAAATGATGGCCTTTCTTATGTGTGTTATTTTATGATATTTGCTATATATTTGTAAAAATGCCAGCCATTTCTGTTTGATGGGATTTGCTACGCTTTGGCGTTGCCGTTGTTCTGGTTGGTATCATATGTTCGGAATGAAATGAAACAATTACATCTATCCCAACCTCATTGGAACAAAAGGACATAAACACAACGTGTTTAGGTCTCTCAATATTGTAATTGTACAAAGGAAAGTTTGGTTGATTTTAAAAAGTATCTTGTTAACACGGGGTACCATCGAAACAACCCCCCCCCAAAAAAAAGTTAAAAATTAAGATAAACCTTTTATTTCATTAACCACGGGGTACCATCGAATAATTTTGGCAACGTACCGGAGAACGACATTTTACTAAGAAATGGCAATAATTTAGCACAATATATTTTTTAACTAGAGTTCTATTTTGATTTTGACAAAAGTAAGCATTCCATGCAATAACTATTTCATTCATGAGTTTGTAGGAATTCTGTTGGAACCCAGTTCTGATCAAGTACGAAGTTATTGAAATCGGTGCAAACGGACTTTACTCCGAAAGATGGTTTTTCGATTATAACTTTTCACAACATTTAACGTTTTCTTTTGAATAAAAGTACAGAATAGTCCTTATACTTTTGAATAATTCTGTTATTTCTGATTCACACGACTCTGATTTGTTTAATTTAAAAAAAAGTTTTAGAAATATTACTTAGGAACGTAATCGGAGCTGGGAACGTAACCGGAGCAGATCAGTTGAATTATTTAATCAAAAAAATTAAAATATATGATTTAAAGCACATATACTAATCTAAAAACACACGGGATTGTTCGAATGCGTATTTATTAATATATATGCTTTAAATCATATATTTTATTTTTTTAAATTATATAATTCAACTGATCTGCTCCGGTTACGTTCCCAGCTCCGGTTACGTTCCCAAGTAATATTTTTAAAACTTTTTTTTAATTAAACAAATCAGAGTCGTGTGAATCAGAAATAACAGAATTATTCAAAAGTATAAGGACTATTCTGTACTTTTTTCAAAAGTCTATACTTAAATGTTGTAAAAAGTTATAATCGAAAAACCATCTTTCGGAGTAAAGTCCAACTGCGCCGATTTCAATAACTTCGTACTTGATCAGAACTGGGTTCCAACTGAATTCCTACAAACTCATGAATGAAATAGCCATTGCATGGAATACTTACTTTTGTCAAAATCAAAGTAGAACTCTAGTTAAAAAATATATTGTGCTAAATTATTGCCATTTCTTAGTAAAATGTCGTTCTCCGGTACGTTGCCAAAATTATTCGATGGTACCCCGTGGTTAATGAAATAAAAGGTTTATCTTAATTTTTAACTTTTTTTTGGGGGGGGGGTTGTTTTAAGTTTTTGCTTACTTTTTGTTAAATCAACCAAAAATTCCTTTGTATAACTATAATATTGAGAGGTCTAAGAAAATGTTGTACATGCTATTTCGTTCCAACAAGGTTTGGAAAGACATTTTATTTCAACAATTGCACTAAAAAACAAAAAACAAAAACAGTTATATAAAATACACCGTATATATAAATAATTTTGCATTAAATTTTTGCCAATCAGTCAACATTACATAAAGGACCGTGTTTTTTTACAGAATGTTTTCAATAATTGGTTTAAGAGAAAAACATTTTTGAATTCAGTTCACAATATCGATACCTATCCTTTGTGTAAATTCACTAAAAAATTCGAGAATTTTAAGATTTTCTAAAACACTTATTGAGCATATTAATAATGGAGATAGGACAATTCAATTCCGAATTTTTGTAACATAAAAAAATAAAGCTGAGCTATTTCCATTTTGCATGTATTTTCAATAGTTCTCCATATCGATACCACTCCTTTGAAAATGAAATTCGGAGGGATATAGAGAATGGCTCCATTCTTCCGGGCAATAACTCGAATACCTTTGGACCATTATCATTTATATTTTATATGTATATGCCCCATGGTAGTACAAGTTCCTCTGGAAAGCAGATTTTCAAAATGCTTACTGCTTTCAAAATGGCCACCATTTTAGTGTTGATTTTACAGTATTTTATGTACAATATATAAAAACATTGTGGTCATCTATTTCACGAATTTTGCCATAATATATGTAATGGAGCGATTTTGTTCTTATGACACTTTAGCTAGTAGGTAGACACATTTTTATGTGTGTTATTTGACTAAAACTCAAAAATATTGGAGTGATTTTGTTGATATTTTATATGTGCCTATTTAGAAGCATATAACACTTTCTTATGACAATTTGGCAAGTGAGGGGCATTTTGAAAAATGATGGCCATTTTTGTGTGTTATTTTTCTATTTTTCTATTTTTGACCATCGATATTCTGAGTTAAAAATTATATGAAAAGATCTTGAGCATTATGTCTTAAACATTGGTTTTAGAAGTTCATTATATCACAGGTTCAAATAAAGGTCGTCCTTCATGTACTTTTTAAGAGGAGTGTGAGTGACGTTAATTTAGATGTATATGATACGATAAATCGGGAGAGCATCTGTAACTTAATTGGTTTGTAGAATTATTGCTTTTGTCACAATCATTATGCAGTTTTGACTAATTAGTTTTTTATACTTAGAAATGTCAGTTATTATCAATTGACATGGTAGCTTAGGGATTGAGTGATCCAGTTTTTACTCAGTCGGAGAAGGTTTGATTCTCTTTTTTGGCTCACACAGTGAGCCTATGGGATCGACCAGGCGTCTGTTGGCCTGTCTGTCCGTCAACATTGGCCGCACAAATTAAAACTGCTATTCGGATTGAGTCATATCCAAATTCATTTTATACATATCCATAATGCCTATTTGACCTATCATCGGCATTTCTCAAGTTCGCCCGGTTTCCGAGAAATTGGTGATTTTGACGTCAAAAAGTCAAATTTTCTGAAAATACTAGACACTTTGTTGAAGTAGAACTTTCTGATCAGAAAAGATGTAGTATTGATATATATTATGGGTGATACTTTTAATCATGTTTTAGTCGTAACGAAGCCTTCTGTCATCTTAATGTTTAATCTAAATTTGTATTGAACACAGATTTGGTTGCCACGCAAGGAATGTATCCATTTATCACGTCAGTTGTTTTAACATTCCCTTAGCTTTGCTCTAAGGATTCATTTATACCTACTTATTGGATTAATGTTGCAACTTACTCAAGTAATTTGCTTGGAATATTTAATCATTCTGAATGATGAAGCCATTCGAGAAATAATATAAATTCCAAGTGTATTTAGCAAAGTCACCCTTTGTACAGTGCATACATAATTACTATGACTGGGATGGATATAAAAAGCAAGTGTTTTTATCTTGTTTTTAGAGGTAATGTCACTATCGTGGCATATATGCCCGAGGTCTCAGTGATATATGGCCCGACATTGGGAGGGACATTGATCTCTGAGAACTGAGGGCATATGTGCCACGATAGTGACATAAACTATTTATAACATACCTATGATGATGTAGACTTGTCAGAGAGTACTGTTTTCTTATAGAATTGACAAACAAATGGTTTGAAAATGATTGAAATTAGTTTAGAAAAATTGCTCGCGCAGTTTTATCTTCGATTGATTGGTTATGACGTCAGCACCTTGACCAATCAGAAAGTTAGCGGGCGCGGGCTTTTCAAAACTTATATTGGCCCGCTGTCTTGTGTACACGGCTTTGTATAAAAAACCTCCTACCCACGTACCCTCGTACCCACATACGTGGGTCCTGACCCAGTCTTTAAAGAGTTAAATCTTTAACATTTTTTAAACATTATTCTATCTCAATGTATGCTTAATTATGGATGAATTTATGTACCCATATGCCTTTATTTCTAGATCGGACATCTGTCTCGTCATAAAATAAAGCCGGCATTGCATAATGTTCATTTGAGCTATTTGAGTGTTGTTTTTGATATATCGAAGCGATTTTTTGTTGATCGGGCAGTCTTACAGTGTACAACCAATCTATTGCTTGGCGCAAATTGGCCACATGGGGCATGTGTTGTAAAGTGCTGTAGTTTTTGACTCCATGAGCAGAATATGGTCAAACTTTCACAACAAAATTCACATTGAATGACCTGAATGATTCTGGATTGACGAAGTTATTCAACTTTTCATCGGTCCTGTTTTTTAACACCCTGTAGTTTCGATTTTTATCACATATACTTTTTATTCTTTCAAACGATATTACAAGTATTCATTGTTTGCACGACAGATTTGAACTATACGTGTAATTTGTCTTATGTCTTTTATTTAATTTAACATCAGAATTGGAGATACAAAGTGATAGAGTGATCAATTCACACGATCTCAAGGAATAATAAAGGCTGCATTTCTGTTTAACCGTGGCGCAATTGAATAACGAAATATTTGAAAAGTAGAAGGATTCGCTATATTCGTTTTTAATCGCTTTTTGGCACAATTTAAGGATAATTGTGCGCACTAGTTCAGTGAATCATTTAGATGGAATTAAAAGTTAGAGTTGCCAAACTTATGCAGGGGAGTGTAAGTTTGGTTTTGTAAACTTCGACATTATTCATGGCCGTTTGATCCATAATTAGGTAATATGAAGAGTAGAGTTTTATTTTGACAATGATTTGATGTAAAACTGGTTTGAATGATAAAAGTTCAGCTTTGTAGTTTTTAGCTTTTTGCGCGTAAAACGTGAATACAATGGACAACAACGACACCAAATCTTTGACTTACATACGTTAATAACGTATAATATTCGTAAGAATGAATTCTAATAACATTTGAAATAAACATCTAATAAAATGTGCTGAATTTAATTGGTTGGAAACTCTAAGAAATATATTTTTAAAAAGATGTCAACTTTTGGACAAGGGTAAACTTCCCCGGACATTTACAATCTGCATGAGGTAACAGGAGGCACGGATTGCACTGAACGAAGGCTAGGAGATTGCTTGATGTGTTATACAGGTAAGACTGCCCGATCAACAAAAAACATTTCGACATATCAAAAACATAAATCAAATAGCTCAAAAATAGTGAACATTTATGCAATTCCGGCTTTATTTTATTTTACTAGAGAGATGTCAGACCTATAAATAAAGGCATATGGATGCATAAATTCATCTATAATTCAGGATAAACTGAGATTGAATAATGTTTTAAACATTTAAAAATTTAACTCTTTAAAGACTGGGTCAGGACCCATGTACGTGGGTACGAGGGTACGTGGGTAGGAGGTTTTTTATACAAAGCCTGTGTACACTTTGCACTATACATCATCATAGGTATGTTATAATGTTTTTTATCGCACTTTGAAAAAGTGCAATATATTTTTTTTCATAGAATAAACATGATAAAGCAATTTGCCTGAATTGGGGATTGCGGACCTATTGCGTAAGAGACTCACATGCGAGCCATGAGCAATGCGTGTGGACTTAAGATTCACATGAGTAGTTCCTGATTCTGAATTGATGCAAATTGAGGACACTTGGCATAACCACATGTTTTATTATTGTGTTTTAGGAACCAATGTTACAGTTCATCTAAGTACATATGTGACCTCCTCAGTCTACACATTAACTGCACTTACAATAAACAGGTATATATTATCCAAGCCCGTAGCCAGGATTTGCCAAGAGGGGGTTCAGTTTTCAAAAATTTCCAGGGGGGTTCACATATGACAATTTTGGCCCAAATATGGCTAAAATCACTTCAGAAGTGCTCAAAATGGTGAAAAACTGCATGATTTTGAAAGAATTTTTGGCCAGGGGGGTTCGCCCGAACCCTGCGAACCCCCCTGGCTACGGGCCTGTTATCTAACTAGATTATTTGTCATTAACACTCTCAATCCGTTGATTACTATTTGCACCACATGCAGACAAATCGCCTAGAATTACATTTGTATGATGAGAGACTCAACATTCAGCAGGAAAATTGAGAAAAATTGTGTCACCCATGTAGTAAATTTTTTTTCCTGCTTATAAATAAATGGTGAATGACTGTCACATTAAGTTCTTCAAGTATGAGAATAGCATTTCAGATGTCTTAATATTTCAAGGTAACTTGTTTGAAAAGTTATGGCGGTGATTGAAATTATGATGTAAAGATAAAACCGCAATGAAATATTTGTAGATTTCTTTGAAAATCTAAGAAATGTACATCGCATATCAATTATCTAATATCAAAACAGAAAAAATTTGTAAAAACTTTAACAGATGATACCTAATTTGATAAACCATTTTGGAAAGATCATCCAAAGTTACATGCACTCACCAACTCCCAAGTTCATGATTTCATTAATAGTTAATGTACCTCTGGCAGCTTTTATTGCATTAACAATCCTGCCACATCACCAGTTACCATGTTTCTAGGTTTACAGGAAATGGCAACACCTTTGACATTACTTTTGGATCACCTTGTATGGTCACCTCAATTGATACAATGTGGCAATTTATGACATTGATTGACAGGTACCAGATATATGCCAATCAAAGTAACTTTGGATGATCTTTCCAATGATATATCACACTTGATACACTATCTTTTGGTTTTGGCTGTAGGGAGGGTCAGGACTTATTTGACACCCTGTATAGCAAGTCCTCTATTAAATATGTGTTTATACCTTGTCAATATGATATCACATAACCTCTATTTATTATACATTATTACCACCTTGCCGGGCCAGTTCTAGGGGTTTTAGTGCTAGTTTAGAAGGCGTTCATTTTACTATATCGACCTGAGAAATGTGTGACGTCATAGTGGTGGTCCATATGGATCGGTCTAGAATATATTCTGGACCGGCAATTTTTCCCCGGGAAATTAGATATCGTTCATTGCGTAAGATTTTCTTGCTATTTCAGCCCTGGTCGTTAACGGTGGTAATAATACTAATAATAACGTCATTTCTGCGAGCAATATAGTAAATATTTCACTATATTGCCCTTAGAAATGACATTATTGTACTATTAGTGATTGATTCATATATTTTCAGGGTATTTATTCCAGTGTGACTAATCCAGGGTTTGTTTATACCAAAATGACAAACAGTATTCTTCCTGACTGGCTGTGGTCAGTCAGTCTTTGGCTTTTGACTTTAGTAAGTTATAGTACAGCTTTAGTAAGTAATTAATTAGCTTTAGTAAGTTATTTTAGTACAGCTATCTCAAATACACTGTAGTACAAAACATCTCATATAGCACAACTGATAAAGATTTCAAAAGAATTGGTGAAAATATATTGTCAAGATAGATTAAACAAAAATATTGATCTTAGCCCAACAGAAAAATTGATAGATAATTTAGTTATTTCAGTGGCACCTAATGTTGTTAGCAAATATAATAACGGGGAGACCATTTAAACTTGGAGTTTTTATTTAACTTTGAAATATTGATTAGAAAAATGTAAGTGTTACATAACCTGTTGCTGTTGCTAGTATCGTATTATGTTACAGTATTTGTATACTTGTATCTTTCATTAGGAAAAATAAATAAAAAAAAGATTTCAAAAGATATTTTGAAACAACAACAAAAGACAAATTGCTGCATATGTCACATTGAACTTTTACAGATCTAAAATATTTTAATCATATGCCACTACAGGTCCTGAATTGTTTGTTTTGAAAAAAGTTTGTTTATTTCTCTTTAATGAAACCTTCTCATGCTTTGCTTTTATACAAATACTTACAAATATCAATTATGTGTTTGAATAAATAAAATAAATAGCCATCCTTACAAAAGATCCATTGCCAGTTTTGACCATAGCTATGTCTGTAATGCTTATTGTATGTCTGTTGGCATTTGAAGGGATTTAATTATGTATGTCATCAAATAAATAAAATAAAATATATATATTTCTGATTTAAGTTGAGATTCCTGGTGCCAAGTATGACAATCAGCACTTACTGTGGGGCAGAATCACTGGTAATTAAATTATTACATTCTTTACAGGACACCAATGGAGAAAAAGCTAGTCCCATAGTTCAGTGTCATTATTGAGGCATTATGGTTCATTTGATGACAAATGTCAAAAGCAGTCCCGTGGAATAAATTGCTCCCTTCATGCATTTATCATTGGTCACACACAACAGCTATTTTGTTAACATACTGAGTGTGAACTCTCACATCAGATTTCAATAAATTATTTTTTATCTATTTACTCCTTGACTTATTTGTTAGGGACTTATCTGTATTAATTAATCTTTTATGATATTTCATAAGATTCACCCAACCTTTGCAAATAATTCTCGTAATATCTATATGGTGACATTATCACCAATAACCAGAATATGATTTCTGTATACAGCAAACATTTTTCATATTTTTAGATTGATGTATGGAGGAAGCCTGTTGAAAGTTTAGACCCCTATTCTAAGTATTACAGCAATGCAGGGTTATTTAGCAAAGCTTTTACAAACCAACATAAGGTGAGTGTATTGACATAAGGTGAGTGTATTGACATAAGGTGAGTGTATTGACATAAGGTGAGTGTATTGACATAAGTTGAGTATATTGACATAAGGTGAGTGTATTGACATAAGGTGAGTGTGTTGACATAAGTTGAGTATATTGACATAAGGTGAGTGTATTGACATAAGGTGAGTGTATTGACATAAGTTGAGTATATTGACATAAGGTGAGTATATTGACATAAGGTGAGTGTATTGACATAAGGTGAGTGTGTTGACATAAGGTGAGTGTATTGACATAAGGTGAGTGTATTGACATAAGGTGAGTGTATTGACATAAGTTGAGTATATTGACATAAGGTGAGTGTATTGACATAAGGTGAGTGTGTTGACATAAGTTGAGTATATTGACATAAGGTGAGTGTATTGACATAAGGTGAGTGTATTGACATAAGTTGAGTATATTGACATAAGGTGAGTATATTGACATAAGGTGAGTGTATTGACATAAGGTGAGTGTGTTGACATAAGGTGAGTGTATTGACATAAGGTGAGTGTATCAACAAAGATGAGTGAAATGACAAAGAAGCATTTTGCATGTTAATGTCTTTTTGGTACCATATTGTCCACCATGTGTGCCTTATTATAATTCAGACTGTCTTCGTTAAAATCTTGCCAAGAAAAATAAATGAATGTGACCTTTGAAGAGATCATTTGTCAAATTACTTTATAATGAAGGTTGATTCTTAAAGTTAACTCTCTGTAATCCTAGGAAATCCTGCCAACTTTAAACAATTTCAAAATAATTAATTTGATGTCATCCTTTAATGAAAGAATGATGTAATTGGAGGTTTAAGCTCAGCGACCAATCAGACTGTGACAAGTACACAGTTTACCACCCAAGTCTTCTCTGTATTAGCTACAATTCTAAATGATGAAGTAAAACTTACTAGTAAATTACGTAAATTTTTACATTAACCTGCAGGCCCGTAGCAACCTTTACCGAAACCATTTGAAAAATGCTCAGAAAGCTCAACCCCCTGGCTATGGGCCTGAACCTGTAACTATGTACAATGTGCCTCAAATCAATTCCATTGAATTCATTGGATGAACAGATATAAATTGAATAATGGGATTGTGTTCATGTGCAGAATGCATATGTCTTAGGGAGATAAAAAGAGTGGTGTAAAGATGGCAGCATGGGTAACATGTTTATATATAATATTAACATATGAACTATACTACTGTTATATCCAGAGATATATAAATATACATCTGTCTATATTCTTATTTTACTCATAACTTCACAGTTATCCACAATTGCATTTGAAAATTGACAGCATATTTGAATAAATCAAAGCATCAAAGTGGGAATGCAAAGTTTAGGAAACAATTCCTGAGTGCACTGATTCAGCCACAATGCATCAAGTCTTGGGCTTAAATTCTTTTCACATACTCGTTTTGCAAAATATTTTCTAAGAAATCAACTAAAAGATACAAAATCACTAAAAGATGATATTTTCAATGAAACTTTTTGCAAGGGTCAAGTTGGCAAAGCATCAATTTCAATCTGTCGAGTCCAGTTGTCACCTTGACAACCATTCAATGAGTAACATTGGATGAGGCGATTGGTTATACATTCAATACACTGCACTACAGTTATATGAAATACAGTACTCTGTTCAGAATGGCTGGAATCAGACACATCTTGCCTAGCTACATGCATGTGTGAATTCCCAATAATTTACTTTCATGTTACATTTATTTCAATCGATAAAAGTGTCTCATTCTCATTTCAGTTGGATGTTGACGAGTCATTGGCCATGCAAACATTTGAGAAACTTGATACAATGCTAGAAAAAGTAAAGCGGTCAGAACCTCCATGGACGTTTTGATTCTCAGGGAGAAAATCATCATGTTTTTAAATGAAAATAGAAGAGTGCAATACGCCAGGAATGAAGTGAGCAGGCCTGCAGTAATTGTACTACATGTACTAGTATATTATTTTATAGAAATGCAAAAAAATCGTTACAATATTGCAATATTATGTAATGATTGGAAGATGGAAACATTTTGTCAAATTAATGACTTGTTTAATTTTAGTCAATTATTGTCAATTAAAGAGAAAGATCAAGCAATCAATCCATGACAGAAATCCTCTTGCAAGGGCTGAGATCAACTCTTAATACAGTACGAGATAGTTTGGCAGGGTATACACAGAGTAAATGCTATTAGCATACAACTTGTTGAAATTGCAGACAAGCCTGTTGGGATCATTAGAAGATTGAATCAACTCAATTTTTTTAACAATGATTAAAAGTATTGTGTAATGTTTAATGAATGTGTCAGTCAATGATTATATTTTTAGTATTAGCTCACTTGGTGAGCTATTGCAATCGCTCACTTTTCCATCTGTCTGTCAACAAATAGTGGTACATGTACTAAATCTCTGTCGAAAGGGTTCCCATTATTTTGGTTCATTATCAATACAGAAAAGCCCCTATGAGTCCCGTTTCAAAAGCTCACCTCTTTTCAAAATGGCCACCAATTTGGTCCCAAAAATTCACTTTTTGAGTATTTAGTAACTTAACAAATAATTTAAGGCGTCTCGCATTGTTACTGTTGACATGTTACTATTCGTTATCATGGGGCATTTTTGGTAAATTTTAAGGTGGCCATGTTCAATATTTCATCCTAAGATCTTGTGTGTAAAGTTTTGAGCCAAACCATTTCATGGATCAATCTGAAATTTTTAGGGATGTCTCCTGGTATTAACGGACAACTGAAATAGCTTTTCCCAACTTGCAGCTACAAAAATAAGGTTTTCTGCATTGTAAGCCCAGCATAGAGTTCTCGCTATAACCCTATAAAAGACATGTTAAATAACTGTTAATGGTCATAAAATTAACGGATAAATCAGATTGGCCCCCGTGTGATCAGTAACGTCATACATAATTGATAGTTTTGGTTAATTGGTTCCTTGGTAATCATGACATCAAGGCAACCGCAGAAACATCTTGGAATTATGATGTCATAATTCAATGGACCAAGACGGTCCATGTGGCGACCAGTGAAAAGTCACGTGTGGGCCAAAAATGTCATAAAACATTTAAAAATTACTTATTAAGCAGCTACCACGTTTAGTAAAATGAAACAGTTGCCATATTACTGATTAGATAGTACTATCATGTCCAAATACATCTATGCTCAAATAATATTGATTTCCTTAGCTTTAAATTACTATTTCAGTTGTCCTTTAAAGTCTACAACTGCCTAGTTTTTGGACAGTCTTGGTAAATTTAGGTGGTGATCTTGTACTTTTTGAACCGAAAATTAGTACCACAACACCATGTGAGTCCAGTACCCATGGTACTATTTATTATATTAATGCTTAAAACTAGTCTTTGTTGACCTTTTCACTTTAAGGCTTAGCAATGGGTTTCAAGTAACTCAAGCATTATTTAGTTTTGGCCTTTTTTTGCCATTATGGCATGTACAATATGTGATGCTCAGTTTGGTACTTAGTTTACATCAATCCATGATCTGTACATGAAAACAAACTTTGATCTGTACTGAAACTTTGTGTACAATGGATTAAAAACTGTCCAGTTCTATGAGAGATTGTCTTGTCACTTTATGTCTCAGTGTCATTTTTGGGACAAGAAAACTTGTCACTGTGGTAATCAAGAGGTTACCATACAATAAACTCATGATCCAACAAATAAAGCAATGAGTGTTGTTGAAATCCTTTATTTCGAACACTGTTTAAGGTGTAAAGGCATTTTCTAATTTCTGATAACAATGTATAATGTCTAAAGCATTGAGTAATGTTTAAAATAATTGGGTAATGTTTTAAGGCACTGTTTAATATGATGAGACATTGCATGATTCATGAAACATTTAAATAAGGCATTGCATGATTCTTGAATTATTGCATAATGTTTAAAGACATGTGTTTAAAGTGTGCTATATATGCAGCATTAATTTTTACCCCACCAAAAAAAGTTTGATGAGGGAAACAGAGGAGCCATTCGTCTCTCCGTCCATCCAATTGTCAATCCATTTAGTCATATCCCTCTATTTGTTTGTTGGTCTGCCCATCCATTTGTCATTTGTGTGTCTCGATGATAACTCAAAAAACAGTTGACAGATTTGATCAAAATATTATCGGCTAATGACTAAGAGAACCTCTTCTAAAGAAGGGAATTTCAAAATGGCCGCTATGGCTACCATTTTCAGAATTTATTTAAAACAATCGATATTTGAATTATCATTTTGAAATTTGAATGGGCATAGGATCTAGGACCTCTGCTGGAGAAGAAACTTACAATATGGTTGTTCAATTCAAGGTAGCTGCCATTTTGTTAAAGATGTAATTTTTTTTGTAAGTTAAATGCCAATATTATTGCCATTCAAATTGATTCGAAAATGGCCACTATGATGAGAAATGTTTATCTAAGATGTTATACTGTAAGCTGGGACCTGATGGACATAGCAACATATTTGAAACAATAATGCTCTCATACATGTAAGTTTGCAAGATCAAAATTCAAAATGGCTGCCTTTTATAACCTTTTCTAATTATCTAATTATTACTTGCATGGTTTGGGTTAAACAATAAACATACATAAGGCAAAAACTTGATTGGAAAAAGAGTGTCAGAGATAAAATGATATATTTGATCAGAAATTGAATGAATATGAGTAATGAAATGATGATGACAATAAGGAGGGGACGGGAGTATTAGTGAGAAGGATGTCAATACAAAAATGATTTATTTACAAAGTTTGTTCAGCCTCTGTTCGACTATTCTATAAAATTTGCAACAATATGTACTGAAAGATCATTTGTTTTGTAATTCAGAATTTCCAAACAAAAACAATGTAACTTTGTATTATTCATATGTTTGATACAATCTAACATACAATCTAACATACATGTACTGTACATGTATTTAACTTTGCAAGTGGTTATAAAGGGTGCAGTAGAGAAGGAAACGGTTGCTATCTTCAGTTTTTTTCCACATGAACAAGCTTAATGTATATACAATGTAATATGATATATATTTGATACATATAAATATGTCTCATTCATTGAGATTTGCTACTCAGGAGTTGCTGTTTTTCTTGTTTTCTGCAGTGGAACATCACAGCACTTATTTGATTATTTCATCATTATTTCTTATATATAGATATATAATATCAGTTATTGTACCCCAAGAATAAACTGTATAAATTGTTAATTCATATGCATTTATAATATACAAAACATATTGCATTTTATAATTGTGATTTTGTTCTATATTTATTATTCGGAGACCAGTAATACAATGAGTCATAGGTACCCTGGGAATAGACCTGTGCTTCAAGTGTTGTTGTATTTTTTTACCAGTTTAGTCTTGCTTCGAGTCCTTGTTACCCATCCCCAGGCCTATAGCCGGGGGGGGGGGTAACTCTGGCCAGAAATTCTTTCAAAATCCTGCAGTTTTCACTATTCTGAGCACTTTTCCAATGATTTTGGGCTAAGGATGTCAAATTCAAACTCCCCTGAAATTTTTAAAATTGAACCCTCCTTGGCAAAAGCTACCTACAGGCCTGCCTCCCTCTACAGATTCATCAGGAAAAACCCAACACTTGATATGATGTAAAGTAAGTTAGAGGGATCACTTGACGCAAGACTATCATCAGTCAATCAATCATATTCACATGAACAGTTAGCGGCCGAAAATGTCAGCTCGGGAAAATATTTTGCACTATTTCCCTCAATGGCAGTCACTAGTATTTATATAATGTTTAAAATCATATCTGCTGATAATTTGAAATATACTTCATATAACTTTATACAAAATATAAACTAAGAATGAATTCAATGTTTACTTTTTGTAGCATCCTTAATTAAAAAAATAGATTATGGTTGTATAAAAATATGTATATTTGATTTTGAAAATTAATATATTATACATAAGTGCATTGATATAATTGTATTATTAAATGTTATTAAAACACATGTTCTGGCATATGCAACACAATATTTGGCAATATATAGAGGGCATCACAGTCCCCTCACCTTCAATTATGTGACCACCGCAAGTGCTATGGTTACATATTGTTTTAGTCTCCAACTTTTTTTGTGGACGGTGTTCAGCGGTTGGACTTTTCTTAGGAATACAAAATCGAATATTGTGTCTTCGGAGCAGTCCTTCAATAAGCCATATTTCGTGAGCATAATACTCACCCTATGTAGACTGGGCGTGCAGAAAATGCTCGGTGGAATTTCCTTTTACATGTATGAATATATTTGAATACCCAACATGGCTTATATAGTTTATAGAATTTCAAGAGTTCATGAATACAAAATGACCATTGATTCCACATTGTCCTCATGATATCCGCACCGAGCGTTTTCTGCAAGCTCATTCACAGTCGGTACAGTGTGATACATATGGTGTATTTCTTTCTTGATGAACGTATCCGGGACATAACACATAATGATGAACCACTGTATGACATAGATGCACTCCTCCGATTCTCAAAGAAAAGTTGGGGTGATGAAGAGTAAAAGCTTTTAGATAAGATTAATTATCTAATTGCTCTCTTGAAAACGGAAATTTATTTTCAAGAGTTTGGAGGCTTAGTCAAAGGTGAAATAATTCACATTGTTCGTGTTTTCATATATGCTCCCTGGAATGCTTTGTAATATTTATAGTGGGCTTGTCCATAGGAAGCCATCACTGTGTTTAAATTTCTGTTGAAATGACTGCAGGATTTGCTCTTGAAGGGACAGTAGTATTTGCATTCGTGGTAGCAGTATCAGCACTAGTGGTAGCAGTATTAGCGCTTGTGGTAGCAGCATTAGGATGACTTGTGTCTGTTATATTTGCAGAGTTGGGTCTTGCAGTATTATCATTTATGACACTGATCATTGTTATTGCAGGATTATTGTTAATTGTGGAATTAGCATCAACTGCAGGATTAGCATCAACTGCAGGGTTAGCATTGATTGCAGGATTAGCTGCTAATGTTTCTGTTGAACTTGCAATTGCTTCAGCGTAGGACGGAGGTAGATCACCAGGGGATGTTGGCTCATAGTTTTGATGAATTATCGGAGACGTGGTTATTTGACTGCTTCCATCTGGAAAACACAATATTTCCATCTACAAATCACCCAAAATGTTTAGCAACACCTCTTTAAATAATGGATCCCACGTTGAGATATAAACGTGACATATTTGGCGGTCATAAAAATCGTAATTATCCCATCGAACGAAGTTTAGGCGATAAAGAGAATGGTTCCATCTATACATCCGCCTAATATTGTTTATATTGATACATACGTGGCCCATGTGATTACAAGTTATGGCTACCAAATTCAAAATGGCCGCCAAATGTTTGATTTCACAATCATTTCCCGATCTCTTCACAAAAAGGCTATATGACACTGATATTAGTATCATAATGTAGCATTATAGTTCTCATGAATATGTTGTTCGTTGGTATTTTGTACTCCTTGAAGTTACCGATTTCTAGTTTGCCATCTGTAAATAGTGATTTCTTGAGAAGCCATGCTCAACTTGACTTAAAGGCATGACGCACGGGCAAATGACTAATTCATGTATCATACATTTACAATAAGCAAAATTGATGATCAATGTGTAGATTCGACAGTTTAATGCATCATCAAATTAACAAAAACATACGTTTTCGAATTACCATAATCTTTGGACATTTAGGTCATTAATTATCGCAATCGTAAATGGGCTGTTTACGCTTAATTCTAATCTTAAACTCCCTTGTTGGCGTTGAGACTGAAATGCGTTTCGTATGAGTGTTGACTTCAATGTATATTATGAACCTACCTGATGGATATGGTGGGCTGTACATCTGGTTGAATGGACTTGCACCTGGCAGTGCATAGGGCGGTAGAGTGCCATCAGTTATTGTTGGAAGTCCTTCATGAACGAGACCATCACTAGGTGGACATGCTGTAGTATAACAAACAGAAATGGTACAATGGTGAAAAGCATTATTTCCATATACAATTTTAGAAATAGTAGTCCGAAATATTAAGAGAGAGCATGGGGTTCTATTGAAAGACCATGGAGAGAGGGAGGGATGGAAAGATAGGCATGAGGAGGGAAGGGAGATGGAGATTAGGGCTAGGGAGAGAGGAGGTAAGAAAGAACAGTTAGTGCGAGAGTACACGTATGAGTGAGAGATGGAGGGAGGAAGAAAGGGAGGGAGAACAAGAGCTATTGGGATTTTAAGATTAACGTAAAAATATACGTATACCTATTCGTATGTTTGTATTTCTGAATGCATTAATTAACAAACTACGTATTGGTATACGTGAGTCTGTAAGTGGACTATTTACGCTAATCTTAACCTCCCTATTGTACACTTTTGTCACTTATACAGTATAATCATTTTGTTTGTGAGGGGTCATTCAACGATCATGGACCAGTGTCAAAATATATTTAAGTTTGGATATTTCCTCAAGACTAACATCTATTTTTATTATCTACAAAGAAACCCCCTTGATAAACATTATTTTAGCTGATATTCCTCTTGAAACATGGTGGATCTTAAAAATATAAAAGTGGAAGTCCCCTTTTTGAAGCTTTCAACTGAATTTACACTTCTTAATGCTGAAATTAATTATTTATCCATACCTTTTAAGAAAATAGGTATGTCAAAGAAGATGTTAAAAAACCAAATGTTGCCTTGATAGCTCAGAAAAAATTAAAAAACTTTCCCATTTTCTCTACAGTCCTTATTGCCCCGTTATTGTGTATCTTTTTGTCAAGTTTCTCATTCTTGGTTTCAGACAATTATTTATTAACGTCAGCTATAGCGTACACATGAAATTAACGCAAGCGCTATTCTCTGACATTAAGAAAATGCTCAATCCCTCACTTTATGTATCATTGACTATGATTTTACCACATCTAAATATTATAAACAATTTACTTACTTGAGCCAATGTACGTAATCATCATTTTGTCAGAGGCCAGATTTGTGGCAACCATCGGGAAGAGTGATGCCCGACCGCCCTGCAAATCTTGGAACGCTACTCCCCAATATTCATTCTCCGTACCAAAGGCAAGGGTGCCCAAGTTCATATCAAGAAACATTCGGATTTTAGTTGGAACTTTAAAATTGGTATCCTTATTAGGGTAAGTACCGATTGGACGCCCAAAATGGTAAAGTTTTTTGGATTTTAAATTCAGGCCCCAAGAGTAAAGGTTGTATCCAACTAGTGTGACCGATGTGCTATTTTCTAATGCTGCTCCTCTATTGGCTACCCCAACTGACCTATTGGCGTTTCTGTTATCTCCTAAAAAGTTTATCTCCCATATATGTTGTCCATAGTTCATTCCATGTGACCCCATAATACCATGCGTGGCACCACGGTCAGATTCGAGACATTCAGCCACCCTCGGGCTTTCCATCATGATTTTTGAAGAATGGAACTCTGGATCCCAGCGGAATGCTTCCAGGGCACAGTGCAACTGGATGGTGCGGATCCAGGGTGGAGGGGTCGTATCCAGTTCATCGGGGGAATATGCTCTATTCGTATGCTCAGTTGGGTTGCGTCGATTGGCGTTGGCTCCTGAAGATAGGATGTTTGGACAATCATGAACATGATGATAATATTACATGCATATTGTACAATACAAATTGCCTACACAAATTAATTGAAATTGATTATAAGACCTATGAATGTAAAAACCTACCAAAAATGGTGAGCTGTTTGAATTTTAAAATAGAAAATAGGCTAGTTAGCACTTTGCAGGAGTCCAACATGACCTCAATTAAAAAAACAGATGCAACCAAAACTCATCTGCAATGCTTTTACAGATACAAAGACGTCTTCTGAATCTCATATAAGTTAATATGTTTGTAGGGGAGGTAAAAGCAGGGAGACTCAATGTTGCAAGTGATGCACGTTACCTTTTCAACCCACGCAGTCAATATTCGGTGTGTCAATTGTTTTGGCCCAGGTCTTTTACATACTCCATAGTTTGGAATTTGTAAACCGCGCCAAAAAGCGGTTTAAACTGGTACTTACTCTCCTTGGCTTGCCAGGCTTTAAGCCTCTTGCAACACATCCAGCAAAAGCATCCGGTCAACAAAGCGACGATAGCTACACCTAGGACAACACCTGCGGTTGAACCTCCACCAAAGAACCTGCAAGAAGCAAGCATTCACCTAATACTACAGTAGTACAAGCAGTGTAGGGTTAAGGGTTGGTAGATGGGTGGGTACATCCTCCGAACGCACTGCTTTCACTAGCTGTTTTTCTGTTCCAAGTCACAGTGAATTTTGATGTTACGCATGCGTCCCATATGGTTCGGGAGGATGGGAAACTGTGTTGGGTAGGTAAGGATGAGTTGTTAGTTTTTTTCGTGATATGCCATATTTTCCAGAACCAAGCACCGCAAGCAAAACTTGATCAGTCCCAATAACTTATTCAACTATAATCTTACCAGCACCCCATGGAAGCATGCTATGGATGCACGCTTTACAACAGAATAAGAAAATGCAGCCTATAACGAGGCCGAATACAACGACACCTCCTCCAATCAGGATCTGTCTGAGAAGATTCTGAGCGACGGCATCGGTAGTTGCGGAGCTGGAAGATGTAATCACAAGAACAGAAATTAGAGGGGATCGAAGAGAGAAATTCAGCATGTGATGAAGTCATCCACTTTTAGAAGCAGCACCCATGATGTGGATTCTATATTTTCAGAAATTTTTATAACTTCCATGTTATTTTTTTGAACGTATAACTCATTCCATTCTTGGTCTACACCTTTCAGTTTTGCACAAAAAAGCAAACATGTGTACCTAGATTATTAGATGAGGGTAAATAATTTTTCTATAATGTATGAACATTTTAAAAGTACCAAAACGTAGGTCACTGAATTTTCTCCTTTTTATTACATATCTAGAATCCTCCACTAGCCTAAGGTTATTAATGCTCCTATGCTAATCTGAAAATATTGTAGGCTTAGACCATGCATGGAATGAATTATGTATTCCTGAAATAACACAGGGCTCCATTTAGGAAGTCTTTAAAATTTCTGAACATACGGAACTACCTTAACCATTGATTGTACTACTGCAAAGTGCACACGTGACGGGAACCAGTGTATACATGCGTGTTATTCATGCAGAATGTACATGAAACTTACCGCCATTTTGAGAAACGGTACCTGGTATGCCAGCCTTACATACGCACCAGACACCCGTCAAGATGACAACACCGACCATAGTTGATAAGAGACTGGACATAAGCACTGGGTAGTTGAATATGGTATCTGAACTGCAATTACCAATAAGGCTCACAGTGTTAATGGGACCAGGATGTATAGAATAGATAGAATACGTATCCATATAATTCTCGAATGAGAGATGATCATTTGATCTTACTCAATATTGGCTCGTTTGCAGTAAACCTGTCTCAGTGGAACACATCTGGTACTTCAAAAAGTGTTCCACTTGGGAGATGTTCCACTTACAGAGGTTCATTTATCATATAGGTAACTGTCTTGGGACTCTGAAGTGTTCCACTAACAGAGGTGTTCCTTTTCTGTGTTCCTTTTCTCGCAGTGTACCACTTTACGTTTCACTGTAGATCAAACTCCAGAGTACCTAAATTCGCATTACCAGTCACACTAGGCCTCAGTCATATTTACTCTAAGGCGGGCGTATGGCGGCCGTAGCTTCACAAAATCGATATAGAAAATCTACATCATACTGCTTATCTCTATATTTTATGCTGTATATTTCTCTCGATTTTGGGAAGCTACTGTCGCCGTACGGTTGCCGTAGATTAAATGTGACTGAGGCATAGTTTGTGCCTTCATAAGTATTTATCTTATTCCCAAACTTCCATGAAATGTCATTATAGCTTGGTATTATCAGCATTAAAACGGTAAAATGATTCATGTTATTGCCAAATGGTAGGTAGAAGAAGCCTCATTTGACAATACTTTGAACCATGTTTCTCCCACAGTTGCAAATAGCATAGGAGATAGGCATGATGAAACTACAAGCGTAGAGAAGCAAAGTAAACGTCAGTGTAACAAAAATCCATCCTCCGAACGCAGGGTTCCAGACGTCATCCACTAAATTCCTTTCTTCTTCCAGAAGAAGAAGGTACGAGTTCTGGAGGCTTGCGTTCGGAGGATGCAAAAATCAATCTAACTTAGAACTTGACATTATGAAGAAACTGAAATGAATGAAATTGAAACAAGAATTTACCCCAAACAACATATTTTTATCCTCATTCACTGATGGTCGCAACGTTGTTTGTGTGGACGAATTTCTGTTTAAGTTTGTTTTATTTCATATCATTTTATCTATTTGTAAAGATAATCACAGTGATAATGAAACTAGACGTACATGACGTCATGACCACACAAGACAACTTAGTGTGATCGATTCATGTTCAGGATCAGGATGTTTTATATTAATTAATATCATTGCATATTTTTTCCATTGGTTCATTCTGACGTAATAGGCATATGTTTTTACAACGCTCTGCGCGGAAAATGATGCAATCGAAGATGGGATTCATTCTATGGTTTGCGATTTTGCAACCAATAATCCCTTTAAGTCGCTCAAAAACACAAACGCGAGATAGTAAATATTTGCAGGGTCATTGTAGAATGAAGCTATGATAGTTGCTTTTGGGCACTTTACGTTTGCTTTATTGGTTTCATACAACTGACCATCACAATCCCCATCCCCATAGTCAGATAGTTGATATGATATTGATATGATGACATATGATATTATCGAGTACTACACCATCTCTCTGATTAGAATGTAGAGCGGACTTGGCACTAGATAACTATTATAATGGTATAACATACCCAGTATAGGTGGTGGTATTGGTGTACCTAGTGGACCTAGTCGACCTGTAAGACCTATACGTCCGTTTGCCTTCACATTCTGAAAAACAGGTATCAACAAAATATATATTTAGTTTATGACATAACGATATTGATATAAGCAAGGTGGAGATAGGTAACGCGGCTTTTTACCAATTTTACCAATGGCTATTTATTCATATGTGGAATTATCGTATTGGTAGAATACATGACGTTTCGCTCAGGATGAAACACCTCAGTCATCAATTCAGAAAGTAGATGCATATGATATGCAAATTAAGTAAGGTTCTTTACATTTGTAGTACATGTCTTGCCAGTAGCCAGCTTTTACCAGGAGGGGGAGCTTTTTTCCAGGGGGGAGCTTTTTCACAATTTTGGCTAAAAATCATGCGAAAAATTCTCAGAATGGTGAAAAACTGCATGATTTTGAAAGAATTTCTGGCCGGGGGGGGGGGCTTCCGCTCCGCCAGCTCCCCCCCCCCCTGGCTACAGGCCTGCATGTTCCAGGTTACTATATTTTAGGTCTATTAGCCTATACACTCTAAGTATTTTAAGATTTGAAAGAGATTGCACATTAATTGTAACAATTTTTGGAATAACTTTTTCAATTTCGAGAAAAACTTTCAATTGGTGTTCAATAGAAGAAACAGTGATATTATTTTATTTCAACTTTTGCGAAATTACATTTGTTATCTCGGCATGCTCTCGCCGATTCATTAACAAGTGCAAAGAAATCACAAAAATCTGCGTTTTTATCAAAAAAGGTAAGTCAAACTCATCAATATTGACGAAGTTGTTCTGAGAAAATAGAATACATCATTGATAAAACATAAGAAACAATCAAGAAATGATTCGAATAGTGGCGAAGACAGAAATCACCGTTTTAGAACCTTTGGTTTTTGAAATTTTTTGGCCGGTTAAATACGAGACTACACCCAGACGAAAACATGATTTCTCTGACACGCAATTACAAGTACATTCATGTTCAGTCAAACATCTTCAAAATTATATTAAAATAGTTGTCAATAACATGCTGTCATGGTCGTACTCTTTTATAAGTTAAAAACAGCCAGTTGTAGAGAATGACTTGCACAATAAACGTATATCTTAGTTCGAGGAGTGTTGTTATAAGTTAAAACATCCATTTATAGGCCTTCTCGTATATATTAGTCTGACTACATGTAAGCTTACATATGTGTAAAGTATTCAATATGAGTTTTCAACACCATAGAAATCAACCAAGAATATGTGTCAAAATAAAGTAGTTTCGTTAATTTGATCAAATTCATTAAATCTTTGGTTTGAAATAATCGAAGACAGTTAACCTTCGATATGAAATAATCGAAGACATCTTTGTTATAATTTAGGATTTCAATGCTTTCAGATAGCAGTCACAGAATCGTCACATGAATAATTAATTTGATACCAGCATGATATGACGTAGATTTAGATAATTGTTATAAAATGATCAAAATTGATAAACATGTGATTACCAGTCACTTATCGATAATACATCTTGTTGAAGTTCTTTACATCAACTCGGATGACGTACATGCGCTGAGATGAAAAATCTAAAAAAATTAACTCTGAGCTCTACTTGCGATCACAAAACCTAACATATAATATCATAACATCTCGTGATGGCTGAGAAAAGAAAAAAGTTGACATGTATTGTCATGATGGCTTTTTATTAGGGAAGTCAAAAACAGGTTTGACTTAACTGTCTGTAAAAGCCCCTGGACAAAATGTTGTAAGTCAAAAAGCCCCTGGACAAAATATTGTTGCCACTTTGGATTTTACAATATTTGTTTTTAGTTTTGGCATGTCTTTTGAAGTCTTAAAGCTAAGAAAAAAGACTGGTCGCTCGGTTTTCAGTATTAAGTTAATTTTGAGGCTTGACTTCCGTTTTTAATTCAATACTTGACAAATATGACACTAAGTTCTTGGTACTAAATAACAAATAAATAGACGAAAATAAATAAAAACTGCTACCACCGTTGGAGAAAAATACAAAGTGACATTATAAGCAAATAACATTTTATGATTGATCATTCAAAAAGTATATAGGAAACGTATTTTCGAAAATAACTAATCTGTACTTCTGGTATTCAATACACCCAACCCAAGTCATTTAGAGCTTTAGAAAAATTACTTCCTTGTTGAGGAAATAAGAAAACAGATCACGTGATGAACCCTCAAAAATGAACGGAGATTCGATTATATTAAGATCACCATAATGAAACAATGAATAAACTGTTTAAAGACTACCTACCTATGCTTATCGCCAAAAGAATAATCCAACAACTCAGTGTTAAAGTTGTCAAATTGAGATATTGTCTTTGTTTTAAGCGGAGTGCCATCTTGAATTGTATTACAAATTTCTACCTATACCTATATATATAATATATACCTAGATGGAGTAAAGTCCAACATATTGGTTTGATAACAAAGTGAGTAAGAAGTGACAAATAATTACCAAATACCAAATATTGCAAATATATAGGGTTAAATATTAACGTTTTGAAAAGTATTATGGTTATCAATGATAGAACAGTATTTACATTCAGGAACAATAGGTGAACATAATGTTTACGGGGTCTTTACGTTTTTACGGGGGGTAAAGATTAAAAGCCAACAAAGGCTAGAGACGAGCTTAGAAAGAGAAGGAGATAAGACCTCCATAGTTGACCAAGAAATATCAAGAGTTTCGCACAATTAATTTAATTCATAATTAATAATGATACGTAACTTGGCAGGTACTATTCATATTTAAACGAGTTGCCCATAAAATAGTAGGTTAATTCGGTAGCCGACAGTCGAAAGTTGCAATCGCGAATACTAAACACGCAGAAGCAATAGACTTATGTGGCATTCGCGAATTCAACTGCCGGCTGACAGATTAACCTACTCTACGGCCAAGTCATTTAAAAAGGACCTGCCACAATTCCATTTTACTTAAATAAGTTGGACACATAGCAGATTAAACCGTCAGCCGGTAATTGAATCCGATTTTGGGATAACGTGAATGCACTGTTAACATAAATTAAATGTTCGGGATACCATTTAATATTTCTTAGTCACGTGTACAGCCGGGTAATATCTCATTGTATTCCCTAGTTACTGTCATATAGGACCAATCAGAGAATGGGGCATATGACAGTAATATAATAATTTAAATATTGTCATATTGTTCATTGGTAAATACCCAACTAGTGTAGTTATTAATTAATCAATAAATCCTAATTATTTGTAGTTAAATTACCATTTTCTAACAGAACATAAAACTTATTTAATATCATGATCTATGTACATTTATTTACACATGTTTCACAGGTTCTATTGTAAATGATATGCATTTTTGAAATACATTAAAATTGTGTTTACATTTTTGCAGTTTACTATCTCTCGACGTTTAATTGAAATTGTAGGTAGATAAAATTTAACCAACCAAGTCATTGACTTCAGATCGTAAATGAGATTCATTTTTTAAATAAATAATACATTTATTAACAGTTTATTAATTCTTGATGTTTAAGTTGTGGGTAGATTCCATCTAACCGACCGAGTCATTGACTTCAAATTTGGACGAGGATGCACACGCATGTGCCTCGGGGAAATTTCGGGGAATATTTCATTTTCATCCATTCAGTCGTCCAGATTGACATCTACATTGATTTGCGGCAGGTACAGTCCGTCCTTACTTATAGTTCTACTGTCAAATCTTGCTAAAGTTCTCGATTCTTTAGAATCTTGTTGAACGATTTCTATCGATTCTTGTCTACGGACAATCCTTGGACGAATCCATGCATTGTTTAGTACAGGAAATTTGAAGTCTTCTTTTTCGTGTTCAATTGTCCTCAAAGAAGTTGAATTTGAGCTGTAGTTGTTTTCAATATTTGGTAGGCGAACGTGATCCTGTTTGACAGGCGCATTCGACCGTCTGATGAATGTCCTCTTTGGTGTTACACTTGGTAAGATAATTGTCTCTTCAACTTGTTTTCCATCAGGAAATAATTTATCTGGTCCGTTAGCATCTTCTTTGCGCCGAGCCCACCAAGGTTTCAACGACGATCGAGCTTGCTCAATATCTGTGAATTCAATGCTATCGCCGTTGGTCTTACAGCCGTAGAAGAAGCTGCTCATAATACTTGGGCCACTTGGTGCTTGGGGTAAACATGGAAAACGGGAGCTCGTAGTTCTGTAGTTTTGCCGGATCTGTCTCTGTCGAACGTTCTTCTCTTTCGCTGTCCCCGGCGTGTTGTAAGATTCTATCCCCATCTTCGAAAAAATTATTAGGCGGTCACTTTCAACCTGCTATTTGACTTTTCAAAGACGGATCACAGAGTAAAGATGAGATTTTATTGTTCCAATTGAATCCCTCGTCCACAAATCTGTCTTAATACCGAATGCCCAAAAAACTGAATCTTCTTGATTATCGATCTGGCTCATACGTTTGCGTTTTCTCTAGTAAATGAACTGAAAATGGCTTGCGCGAGTTTATACTTGAATCGGTAATTATAATGAAGCATCAATTGCCTCAATTAGTAATAGTACCCTAGATCACTTATTAGTTTGTTTTCAATAATAAGAAAATAATTCATTTGAATTATTTCATCGTATTTTGACATATTAATCATCTACTCGTCAGTTTTGATATTTCAAGACAGACACATTAGGACAGTGGTATCATATTGTCTTATTTTGGCAAAATCTATACCAATGACGCATGACGGTCCAATTCCTATAGGCATCGGGACATAAAACCTGTACCCTATGAATGTATTTTCCCGTGTAATATTGCATTTGGTCCTTTGTTTGCTTATTTTTAATTTTGATTGACTCGCAAAAAGTGATTAAAATTAAGTGAATTAATCGACTTACAAATAAGAGGTTCATAGCCCCAATAAGCACTCTTCAATTGTCTTAATTTTTAAAACTTAACTTACTTAACTTAGTCCATAGGCCAATACATATGGGCCTAAATATACTGTTGGAGAAGTAATGATATCAATGAAAATATTGGAAGATTGAAATTGAAACTTTAAAGGAAATATATTATTTCCACAATATTTGACTTAACTACAATTTATACAAAAAAGTAACAAACACAAATAATGCTCCATTAACATTTTCTAAATTGGAAGTGCAAATTTTCAATTGCCTCTAAAACAATCAGAAATAATTCTTAAAAATATGAAAAAATAGAAAATTTGTTCGAAATTTACTAAGCTACAAAATGACCCATATGATATAGCCTGGGATACTATTATAACATGACTGCCAAGTGGCTGGCTAGGGCCCTTATGTATCATTCTGGTCCAATATCTCAAGCACTGTATACAAAAAAAGGCAATGCAGATAAAATCACCAAATATGAACAAAGATTTTTCTATATCAACTACAACATTAAATAAATTATATTTTTCAAATAAATAATACATTAATGAAATCACACATGCTAGAAATGGTCACAAGGCATTAACATGACAAAATGTCACCACCTGCTCACAATAATATGAATCTTTTTTGACCTTGAGAAGGTTATTAAAGGTCAAATCTATAGTTATCTACATGTATATATTGAACTTTTGAGAACTTGTAGATGATTTTGAAAAAAATTGTTCAATTTGAAAAATATCTTTTTGACCTTTTGTGACCTTGAGAAGGTCAGTCATTGAAGGCTGGATCATTTTTTACCTTAAGAAGGTCATTGAAAGTCAAATCTCAAATCTATAGTCATATTTGAACTTTTGAGAACATGTAGATGATCTGGAAAAATTGGTCAATTTGAAGCAAGTTGAAAAAAGACCTTTTTGTTCTTTTTCATTTACCTTAAAAGGTCATTGAAGGTGAAATCTCAAATCTAGAGTCAGATTTGAACTTCTGAGAACTTGTAGATGATTTTGAAAAAAATTGGTCAATTGAAGCAAGTTGAAAAATACAGTAAAACCTGCGAACAGGGAATGCTCTTCGGACTGGAGGAAAGTTTCCTTGTTCAGAGGTTTTCCCTATAGAGAGGGGCCGCGCTTTCAGCAAACTCAGAATTGCTGAATAAGCATTTTTTTGTATATATTTGGGCATTTATTGATTTTACCAATGCCGACTCCATACTTGGTTTCTAGACCTTGTTGTGACATCTTGGAAGATGTATGAAGGTCTCCCACCTCCCTCCTTTAGCTGAGGGTAAGGAGCATTCTCCCGATGTTGATTTTAGCCACTGCTGCTGGCGTATGATGATGTCTAGTTGTTGTAATTGTTGATAGATTTGGCTCAACATGACACATGAACTTATCTGTTATCTCCATAAAACAATTGTGTCAATCCCTAGATTATCACAACTGATTAGATGTAGTTAGGTTTGTTGAAAGGAAGAATTAGTGTCATGATAATCAGTAATGAACAGATTAGTATTAGTTTTAAAATATATCAGGGTAATTAACAGTGGGTGGGATGCTACATCTTGTAAACAATTGGCTTATCTTAATCTCAATCATATTAATCCAAGCTTTTTAGAATCAGATATTGGCTTAAGACTTAATAACGGAATATACAGTGTCACCAATATTCCATATTCCTTGTTCACAGGGGAATTTTCATAATTTGCACCAAAATAGTATTCCTTGTTCCCTGTTCACAGGTTTTCCCTACAGAGAGGGTTCGTTAACATGTAAGTCAATGGAAAAATATTTGGTTCTTTTGAAAAGCATTCCTTGTTCATAGGTTTTCCCTACAGAGAGGTATTCCATCGGACAGGTTTTACTGTACCTTTTTGATCTTTTTAACCTTTTTGACCATGAGAAGGTCATTGAAGGACAAATCTTATATCTAAAGTCAGATTTTAACTTCAGCAAACACAGGTTTTACTGTATGGATTGTAAATATGAAGTCCACTCTGATAGTCAGGTAAGACATTAAGATGAGTGACTTGTTTTGATACATTTCAAGTTATATGCTGCACCAGTTACCCTTTGCATTTGTTTGACTTCACTTCTTAAAAGAGAGCTTCGTCTTCACTCTTTCAAACTAAAATAAACCTGTGAACTCACCGCACCAATCAGTGTTCGTCGGCCAAATTTTACCAAAAGAAAGGTCAGCACGTAGGTCAAAAGTGATTTATTACTCAAACTGTCATGTCACCGTACCCGTCGTGGGGCGGGCCTACTAAACTGTAATATGGTCTCTACTAGGCAGAGTGTAGTTTAACTAGACTCTGCATGCAGTTTATGCACCAGTCATCTTAACAGAAACAGCTTGGTGAACTTAGAATTTAATTTCAAGAGATTCTGCCAACTCTGCGCAAGCAACAAATTTATATTATCATTTTCTCTATATTCAATACATATTTAAAATTATATTTAAAGCAAAAAATAGCACATTACATAAACAAAGCAATATTTACAAGTACAGTGAAACTTGTATATCAAAACACCTCACTTATCTGAACTTCAAGGTAAATACTTTTTCCGATCCAAAAATCATTTTCTTTATTTGACCTACGTGTTTATAAAACCTTGAAATGTGAACAACTATTACATAAACACTTTGGCCAGTCCCAGAGGAATCAGATTAGATATAATAGGTTTTACTGTACATGAAGACTAAATAGACTAGATATAATAGATAAAACTCCAATTGTTATACACACAATATTTCAGCTGAATTAAAGTATATTAAAGAAAGTTAGAGCATATAGTGCATTACTTCTGGGACAACCCTCGTATATGTACAAATATACAGAAGTTGCCATTTTGGTTTAACAATTGATTGTCTATACTTGACTATAGCTTTTTCATTGTTTTTTTCATTGTTTTTTCATTGACAATGTACATATTTGTTGTAATATGATCATACAAATATGTATTACAATTTAAAAGTACCCTGTTCCATTAACTACAGTTGAATATCCATCCAAAACAAAGTTATCACAACATTTTACAAAAATTAAGAAAAATCACACTTTGCTTATACAGTACATTGTATGTAACCAAAATGTTAAAAATACTTTTTTGGATTAAATTTATATGGTTTTGTAGTCTTTTTCTTCTTGTCTCTTTGAGGGTTTGGTACGTGAATTGGTTGCCATGGCACTGGGTTGTAGAAACTGGGTACTGGATACGCATTGCCGTCATGGTAGCCTGAAAAACACAAACAAAAAACATAAGTAAACAATGTATCAATTTGCTACAGACTGTGAACATGAATGCTGAATGTTTAACATCCAAAATGGTTTTAAAAATATCTTCAGAGACTTGCTTTGTGTTAAATGACACTCATAATTGAATACTTCTGACCTGCAAGCTACACCGATATAACCGAGCGAAAGCAGGAATTTTTATGATTTTTCTCAAAGTATCTTGTATTATAACAATATATCAGCACCTTTTGATGATGACGCAAAATACAGTTAGTTGTCATGGTTTTTTTATTACAATAATCATAACAATTTTTAGACAATTGACAGGACCAAGGCTGATTCAAATATGTATTATTGTTTTACAAAACAAATGTCATTAACAAAATCTGTGATTGGAAAAATGGCAGAAATGAGATATCATATCAATTCAATACATTTACACAAAAGTAATTCAAATGATAATACATTATTAATATCTATAGATCACATATTTTTAACCAGTACATTCACCTATTTAAAGTCCCCATGTGCAGTTTGAAAATATTTTTTTATCATTCATTTATTATTTGTAATGACTTTAAAAATTATTTAAGACATTTTTGAAAGCTTTTCATATCCCAAATATTTCCCGCCATTTTTTCAAAAAAAGTTGAAATTTTTAATCATCAAATGTTTCTCCATACATTTCAAAAAATATATTTTTAACACCAATGCAAAGATTGAACAAAGGACACACTATTTCAATAATAAAATGCCATATTTAATGTGCCACTTCAATGTTTTAGCTGCATCAAAAAATTGAATTTTTTTTTCTATGTTAATCTTTTCTTAATGTGCTAAAATAATAAACCAATGTTAATTGTCTAACCAGGTTAAAAGGAAGAATATATTATGTTTTAGATGTTGTTGTACCATTGGTTTTTTATGAGAACTAAAATTTTGAAAAGAATTTTTCTCTGAACCATTTTCATGTATTGATGAGTTCGTGAATTGTGGCTTATTAAAAGATATGTCGAACTCCCATGCAGTGTCTCAGTATAGACACTGCGGCGGGCAGATGAAGCAAATCCCCAAAATTTGGGGAAAATAGTTCCCCTTTTCATCGCATATGTGGTCAATTTTCACACAACTTATAAAATATGTATTCATGAATGTTCCCCAAACATTATTTTGTCAAAATATTTCAAAATTATTGAAATATGAGAAGAAATCATCGCGGAAGGAATTCTGAGTAAAAGTTTTGTTGATAATAGTTTACCGCACGTGTTGTTTATTAGTTAATACGCGCAATTCAACCAATGAAATTGTCTAAATTTTACAATCACGCGACCTGAGCATGGGACTAGAACCAATAACGTCAGTTGTTTATTACGAAGTTACCATGCTTACGGTGAGATACCTGCCCACCGCAGTAATATATCACTGCACGGGAGTTTGAAGATATGTGTGCCCTCTAAATGAATTATATATAATCAAATATCATATCACACTTTGATAACATTGGATAATCATAGGATGTTCTTATTATCCTACACTTACAAGGAGTGTACTGAATGTATAATATCATTGTAAAATGAATTTCATGCCAAATAGAGTCAATTTGGCAGGAAATCAACAAGCGGAGTATATTGTCACAATATCCTCCGCATATTGGGTTTTCCGGAGTATATCGTCACGATATCCTCCGCCCGGAGTATATCGTTACGATATCCTCCGGATATTCATTTTGCCAATAAATATCAAATTTATTTTTTCATGTTATTATACATTTAGTACACTAAGTGTAGGATAATACAATATAAGCCAAAGTGGTTTAAACTTTATATGGGGACTTTAAGTGTTCTGAGTGAGTTAAGGCCAGACAACTAATGTGGAGTAATGCCAAAACATGTTACGCAACTTTAACTTGCCAACGTACGCTTATTCAACAAATTAGAGCTAAATCCAGTATAAAACTCAAAAGCCCACAAAATATTTATTGGGACATAAAACACTGTACAAGTGTGAGGCTCAGCTTGTGTGGCTACACTTCTGCATATGGAACAGACTTAACATCATGTTGATGTTGCTTTTGCTAGTATTTTGTGGGGTCATAAGTGAAACTGTGTGGGCTGTACACATACTGCTTATTCCTTACACTCAGGGGACTAACTCTAGACTAATGAACATGGAAAAACTTGCAGATATCTTGATACAAGATGGGCACTCTGTCTCATTGATGATAAACAACCGATATGATGAAGAGAATCGTCCAATATCTAAGGACGTGAAAATCTACAAGTTTAAGATTCCCGATGATGCATGGCTTGTTACAGATGATGCAGTAGTTGCGAAGGCCCACAACACCTCTTTCATTGAGATGGCCTCTCTCGTAAAACATCTCACAATATCGTACTGCGAGGCTCTTCTCAAAAGTGGTATCTTGCATGAATTAAAAAAAATCAAGTTTGATCTTGTGCTAGTGGATTATGTTGAAGAGTGTGCCCGTTTGTCAATAGACTATCTTGACATCGCCACTGTAACATACTCTAACGAAGGGGGCTTGGTCAATACTTACTTTGGGCATTTAAATCATCCAGCGCCATGGTCCTTTGTAACCCCTTTTGTTGTGGGGTTCCCTGATGATATGAGATTTTCAGAACGTGTACAGAGCACATTGATAAACAGTGTCATACAATACGTTTATTATACCATGTTACTGGATATGGATACTTTACGGATTAAGTATAAGGTTAACGCCTCTTTATCAACAATGAATACACTTTCTCGAAAGACATCGCTACATTTCAGCAATAACCATTTTGTTCTGGACTACCCTAGACCAGTGATGCCAAATCATGTCAATATTGGGGGCATGTACTTCCAACCTCCAAATCCCCTTTCTGGTCACATTGATAATATTGTAAAGAATGCCTCACCAGGGGGTGTGATTATCGTGAGTTTTGGATCTATATTTAATCCAACGCATGGAACCCTTGAGTATGTTACCGAACAAATGGCCTCTGCATTTGCTGGTTTAACTTATACAGTTATATGGAAATACCCCAAAAACAGTAAACCACCAAAGTCACTGGGGAAGAATACACATCTTGTAAACTGGCTACCACAGAATGATCTACTGGGGCACCCGAAGACTAAACTATTTATAACACATTGTGGTGTGAGTTCAACATACGAAACAATTTACCATGCAGTTCCAGTTATCACAATTCCCATAGCTGTCGACCAGTTCAAGCACTCAACCCAACTGACTAAGAGGCTCAAAATGGGAATTGAATTACGCATGGATCATAGAGAAATTACAAACACAAGCCTTGTTGAAGCAATCCTCTCTGTTCTGGAGGACCCAAAATATAAGGAAAATGCAAAGATAGCTTCAAGGTTAATACAGAAAAATATTAACAAGCCGAGGGATGTTTTCCTATTCTGGATCAATTATGTCATCGAAACGAATGGTGCCAAACACTTGGTATCAAAACCTCTACAAGATTTGAGTTTCTTCCAATATTTCATGCTGGACGTCCTCATATTCCTGGCTGTTATATTGGCTGTAATTGTGACAATTATCTTCATCATTATTAGATGGATATTTAGATGTGTAATGTGTTTGTTCAAAAATAGTAAACAGAAAGATGACTAGATCTAAGTTAATATAGTACCATGGTGTTCCATTTTGTATAATGATATTATTGATTTATACAGAACAGTGTAATGCCACTCACCAGTAAAATCAAAGATTTAATCAAGCCCTGGGACATAAAGTCGCCTAAATTAATAGTAAAGATGATACTACACCTCAACAATGCAACAATTCACAAGGCAGAGGAAACAAAACTTAATGGAGTGGAGTGTCTTCGCACTGAACCATTTATATAATGCTCTATATTCACCTGAAAAAGCCCTTTCAGACATCTGAAAACAAGATTGGATGGAGTTCAACACACAGATTAGACTGAGCTGAAAGCCACCATTATCATCAATCTAAGAAAGGTGAGCAACAGTGGTTTTCGTCACATGTTTGAATCTTTAGTCATGAGGCAACACGAATGCGCATATAATGGTTGGAAATACTGAATATCAGATAACAGTAATACAAAATGATCCAATACTGTTTTCATACTAATCCCTACACTGTTGTGGTACACAATTTGTTGTATAGTAGGAACAGGTGGTGGTGGACAGGGATGATATGAGAATGAAAAAGAGTTATCAAACACATGAGTGTAGAGTAACACAATTTTGACGTTGCTCCACATGCCCGTAACTCTGGTTACCATAACAACCATAACTTCATAATTTTTAAACTATATGTAATGGTAGTTGCATGATATAGTGCTGTAATGAGATTCTATAATATGGAGAAATGTCATCTCAAACAATGTCAAAACAAGGACATCTCTTAAAATCAGAGTATTTGTATCTTTACTTCCTGGACACCCTGCACTATACATGTACATATCGCAAAATATTGAATCTTGTACAGTACTTCCCTGTAATAAAGGTACATATTCACAAACACAAGTTTTACTGTTACCACTTTTTGAATAGCTAAGATTTGATCTTATTCCTTTTAACAAAGAAATTCAATTTGTTAAATATAATCTAATTCTAATACTTTATATTGTTCAATACATCAGTTATTGAACACCTAATCTCATCATTCCCCCTTCAATCAAATGCCAAAATGGTTATAAATATCAATTTAAAATTTGACAAAATTGCGAGGAATCACAAGGATTTGTAGCAAAAAAGCCTAAAGATTTTATAGAAGTGCAAATTACAACTACTTTATTAGATTTATAATTTATGATGATGATTGAATGACTGTAGAAAATAGTTGTAAGGTTTCCAATAATCGTTCTTACAGGAAAATAGGGGCTTAAGGTATTAACAGTCATGCGAATGCCCCACTGTAACTAAGGATCTATGTTTGGCTTGAACATTAGCAGAAAATACTTGTAAAATAAATATCAAAATCATTGGAGAATAAACCACTTGAATATATAACAATCTAAACAATCTCACAAAAAACGCCAAAGGCCATGGCAACGAAATTTAAAGAAAGTGAGCTATATGCTCTACTTAAGCCAGAGAGTGGAGAATTCCATGAGAAAATCCACAAAAAGACACTGAGTTTTTTAGCCAATACAGACAAACCAACAGAAGAGGTGAACCTTGTGGATGAAGATAACTCAACATTTCTCCATCTTATTGCAACTTACAGCAAGGAGGAGCAAGAACCACTGGTACCTGTCATATACCAACTTGGAAAAGAGGGCATTGTCATAGATACAAGAGATGATCAGGTAAATACTAATTTCAGCATTTAGCATTTAATGAATAGATTAAATACATTTCCTGACAGTCTGACATAAATTACCACAAACAAAATAACATGCTATTTAATATGCACATAAACATTATGATTTTGATTATGATTTTTCTCTCAGATTTATGGGATTTGACAGCGATTTATGTTAGAGAATAACAAAGGCTCCAAAGTGTAAAATTAATTCATACAGTTCAAATTGGTCACAATATATATTATTCAAATTTCAAAATAAAAATGTATTCTCTCTATTATGTGATTAGGGAAATACAGCACTACATAAGTTCGCTGAAAAGAATGGCAGCTGGCGCTCAATACAGGCACTCATTCGCCTCGGGGCTAACATGGAGATCCCAAACAACGATGGAAAGTACCCTTTCGATATGTTCACAGAAGACACCATTAAGAGTCAGTTCGATGCATACACACCTGGGCTATGGACAGCTGTTGAAAACAGTGACCCAATCGCAGTGAAGACTCTTATCGAATCATGGTGCTTTCTTCACGAACGTGGCGTTGAATCACACACTATGGACATCCTTGAATTCGCCAAAACGAAACAGAATTCTGAGATTATTACGATGCTTGAAAAAGCAAAACCAACACTTGAGTACGTGAAGGCAACCTTAGCATGTGATGACGCCTCAATGGTTCGTCTTCTTGACGAATATAAAGAAGCGATTGATGTAAATACACAAGATTGTCATCATAAGACAGAGTATTCTTTAGACGTGCTCCCCCTCCCACTTCTCATAGCTGTGGCCAACCAACTACAAGATATGGACATAGTGAGAGTTCTTGAGCAAGCAAAGGCCGATGTCAAGTAAGTAATTAAAAAAATCAATGAGAGTCAAACAAGTTGACTTTCAATACTAATTTAAAAGGTAATAAAGTATGTAATTATTAATTGATAGCAATGAGAGTCATATAAGTTGACTTTCAATTTTGTTATTTAAAAGGTAATTAACCAGGGGTGTGTAATACACAGATCTTGGTTAATTTTAAAACCGTTTACTCTCTATCCTTAAAATGAAAATTTATATAATAGATGACTGACTCAATTAGATAACTGATTCGAGTGGATTCATAATGATTCGAACAAGTCAGTCCAACATATTCCATTTAGTAATGATTCACACCAATCAGTTCATCAAACTTATCCCTAGTTATGATTCATATAAGATCATTAACACCAATCAGTCTAACATACTTCTTGTAAAATTGATAAAAAATCTCAAGCAATAAAATTTTGTCATTTCAGCTTCTACCACAAGAGTATGTTTCCAAGGGGTCCTATTTACTTCATGCTTGAAACGCTCTACCCAAAGACCCCTGAAGACATTGTCATCAGGGTTATGGAGGAAGCTGACCTCAGCTTGAAGAACAGTCATGGCAAGACATACCTCTATGAAGTCAACTCTGATGTCAGGTCAACAGATTTCATCAATCAGATTTTGCTTAAAGGTGTGGATATTGCAGAGAGGTGAGGTCATTAAATTCTTCATCAAATTATATTCAAATACAAACACATTGAAAACATGTAATCTACCATTTGAAAGTTCCCCATAATCATTCATACATGAAGAAATGAGAGACCAAGCAGAAAAACATGAAATTCACAGTTAAAACATGAAAACGTGTATACTGTATTCGTGAAAACAGCAGTGGTCGAATTCACCACCTCCAAAAAATTAAAAAAAATATCAAGTCATAGATTAAACCACAATAATAAACCAACAATGATAAATCATGAACTAATTTTGTGCGATCAGAACTAAACTCACATTTGATTTTTCAATATACAGTATCAATTTACTTTATTTTTCAATATACAATATCAATTTATTAAATTTTTCAATAAACAATATTAATTTATTTTATTTTTCAATATACAATATCAATTTATTAAATTTTTCAATAAACAATATCAATTTATTTGATTTTTCAAAAAACAATATCAATTTATTTAATTTTTCAATAAACAATATCAATTTATTTGATTTTTCAATATACAATATCAATTCACTTTATTTTTCAATATACAGTATCAATTTATTTCGTTTTTCAATGTACAATATCAATTTATTTGATTTTTCAATGTACAATATCAATTTATTTGATTTTTCAATACACAGTATCAATTTATTTTATTTTAAGATGTATTGTTGGAAACACCATCCTCGATCACTCCATCTTGCGCAACGAATCAGAGGGAGTAAAGTTCTACAAGGAGCAAGTGATGGCTATAATCATGGGTGATGATTGGGAGAAACGAAGAGATTTCATCACAAAGGGATTGGATATGATGCTAGAATGTACTGATGAGAATGAAACACCAAGTAAGTTAAAGTTTCCCAGAAGAACATACATTTTCTGACTCACATTTTGTCATGTTGTTGGCTCAGTTGACTCCATGTTACACCATGAGAGGGGAAAACCCCAGGGTTCAGAGATAATGTTATAAATTATTGAATGATTTTAAGTGCAATACAGGATATATTCTGCATGAGAATTTTAATATCGAGAGCAGAATATTTCCTGTGTTGCACTTCAAATCATTCTATAACGTTTTTATTGTGTGATACTCTGTATTGCTACTGAGAATGTCCCCTCTGTACCAATATTTTCTGTATTGCGACAGAGATGATCAATGGGGACAATCTCAGTAGCAATATAGATCGGTACAGCTCAAGAACTGACCAATCATTCATTTTACAGATCATACGATAAAAAAAATGTGTATTGAGAACATCATCACTGATTGGTCAAATCAACAGACAAATGACGGTATTCAATGGCGATTTCAAAATTTTCTAAAAACGAAAAACTCTATAACTAGTTTCATATCTTTCATTTTCAGTAAGAGAGGTTGCAAAGCAGAAGAATGATACAAGAACCATTGAATTTCTGAAAGAATTGGAGAAAATTAAGGTAATATCATAAACCATCAAACAATAATTTGTTTGACGTCAATGGCAAAATAATTTAAGTGGTTTTGTTTAATGTACAGATCATTTTCTCAAATTGCTTAAATGATCTGGCAACAATTACATGTACATGTATTACAATTATCATTATTTGAACCAATGACCCATGGTCAACAGCATCTGAAATGCAAAAGGAAAGTGGACAACAAATTTGACTTCACATTTGAACGATAACAAGCTCAAATAAAGCATATTCATGTCTTATTAAAATCATTTTGAAAATATACTTAAAACTAATGACTATAAAAAGTTTGCTTACACAGGATGTTTCTCAATCAGTAAAGCAAGCCACAATATGATATGATCAAGTTTCTTATTTTCAGAAATTCCACATTGACTTGTTCTTCACTATAGTGGAGGGCACAGAAAGCACCACTGTTGATATAGAACATGTCTTTGAGCAGTGCCCAGACAAAGTCCAACTCATGAACATCAGAGACAAAGGCGGTAGGACGGCACTCCATATGGCTTGTCTCGTCAATAAAGTCTTTCTGGTCGAGTACCTGATGAATAACTTTAAAGACACGCTCAACTGCAGAGACAATGTAAGTATCAAAGTGGGGTCATGTATTGAAATTCAAAATAAAGAAGAGAGGAATTTGCAAAGGATACTTGGAAAATGAGCACCTAGAGAACACTTTGAATTACAGCAGTGATCTCTCCAGCATTCAAGCAGGTGGGCACAGCACCCACCTCAGATTTCGAGCTTGCACCCACCTGAAAATCCATTTGCACCCACTTGAAAATGAGAAAAATCATGAAAAGTCATTTCAGAGTTCCAAGACCAACTGATTTAATGTTAAATGAACCTCTATAAGCTGAACACCTCCCAAGTGGAACACTTTATAGAGGTGTCAAAGGTGTTCTACATAGATAGGTTTTACTATATGTAAAAATGAAAGAAAGGATTGGTATTGATATGGAGAACTGAATTCAACAATGTTTTCTCTTAAATCAATTATTGAAAACATTCTGTAAAAAAACACGGTCCTTTATGTAATGTTGACTGATTGGCAACAATTTAACGCAAAAATTATTTATATATATTTTATATAACTGTTTTTGTTAACATTCTTTGTTTTTTAGTGCAATTGTTTTTTGTTCCTTTCTACCAATTCTTGAGAATGAAATAAAATGTCTTTCGGAACCTTGCTGGAACAAAATAGCATAGCCAACATTTTCTAAGATTTCTCAATATTATAGTTATACAAAGGAAATTTGGGTTGATTTTACAAAAAGTATGCATTTATGCAAGTATATATTTATATTTCAGATTATAAAGTTAAAATCTATAAGATGACCATTAAATTGACGATGTGTAAAATTTTTAGAATGTTTTGATGACTGGTTTAAGAGAAACGTGTGTTCAAAAGGTTCACCATATCGATACCACTCCTTTAGATGAGTAATATAAATGATGTGATAATCTATGTTATTTATCAGCTAATTATCGGTTGATGTCAACTTTTAAATACTTTATAATTAGACATCAATTATTTTTGAAAACCAGACCTAATTAAAACTAGGTAACTTCTTTTGCAACAACTGCCATATAACATGACAAAATGTGTACAATTTAAAAAATGGGCAACAGAGTAAAAAGTGGGATCAGCATAGGAATAGAGTAAATAAAAGCAATTTGTCGATGGTATAAATTGTATAGATAGAATGACAGATACAACAGAAAGAACCTAAAATGTCAAATTACAAAACTTGCACAGTGTATACAATACATGGTCCCAAAAATGGGCTTCATATCAAAAGGGCAGCCATTCTCACCTCATTGGCCAAGTCTTGATTATATGCACAGAAAACTGTCATTAAATAAATAGTATAAAGTATTTATCAAAATATAAATATGAATTGTTTATTGAAAATCAAAATTTAAATAATTGATTTCATAATTGAATTTTTTGGGACAGAATTAGTGAGGCATTTGATTTTTATATTATATTTTAGATGCGAAGAACAGCTTTACATTATGTAGCAGCCTTGGACAATGAGATCCTGTACACAACATTAGTGAATGCTGGAGCAGATGAGACACTGAAGGATGTGGTAAGTGATAGACATGTCTGAGAGGAGGACTTTCAAGGAGAGTCATTAAAGAGGGTGGATTGGTAAAAGGAAGGGGCTTATGAAGGAGGATCTAAAAAGGGGCAATGGGTTATGAAGGGAGATGGGTTATGAAGAATGAATATATGAAAGGGGAAGGTGTTGTGAGGCATAAATCTATATAGAGGAGGGGATTATGAAAGTTGGGACGGGTCCACATTGAAAAGGTCTTGTCCAGTCTAATATACTGGTACCTTTGTCTCATGTCTCTCCACTGGCCAAAACTGAGATGAATTACACAAAAATCTATTTTTTAAAATTTACTACTGCATGTGTAATAATATAACCCAAATAAACTGTTTTAAATGTGTTTGTGACTTGATATTCCCAAGTATTCCCATACTCTCACTATACTCATGTGACAAACATTGCAGAACAACCTAACCCCTAAGGATTACATGGGGCTCAACCAGCAACCAGTCAAACCAGAGGATGAGAGAGAGCCCGAGGAGTTTATTGTTCAGGAGATGATACAGAAAGAGCGTGAGAAAAGATATGGAGACATGTTCTATTTCCAGTTTCACTATAACAAGTTTAGTAAAGCCATTGCTGAAAAAAATCTTAAAGGTGAGTTAAAAGCAATCCCAAAATTATATCTTTTGAGTTTTGATTTTCTAAAATTTATAATTCTGTACCAGTACTGTCAACCCCCAAAGATTTTCTCGCGGGACAGATTTTTTAGACCCAGTGCCCAAAATTCGCGGGATTTTGCGGGACACAGTCTACTAAATTTGCGGGATTTCGCAGGACATTTAAGGGATTTGCGTGATTGCGCTTATAGGCCAATTTTTTTTATCAAATTCGCGGGATTTCGCGGGACCATTCGAGGGACAAACACCCTAATTGCGGGACAGTTAACAGGTTTACCAGCAAAAACTTCATAGAGGGACAGATTTTCTAGAAAAAGTGCCCTAAAGCGGGATTTCGCGGGACATCCACCTAAATTTGCAGGATATCCCGGGACATTCAAGGGATTTGCGTGATTTGGACTAATGTAAAAGCGTGTAAAAGTACTTAAATCAAACTTTCAGATACTGATTAATCAAATATAATACACCGTTACATTGCAACTTAAATAAACGTCAACATAACTTCACAAAATACGCATAGAAATATTATTTCAATTGAAAGCCCATGGTATAGGGTTTCGATTAATCTACACCAAATTATAGGGAATGAGGTTACTTTTCTAGATAGGGTTTGTAGAAAAAACCGGGTACCGGGTAGTAAATCCTCAATGCTGGGTTCAAACTTGGTACTCGGTCGAAAAAACCGGGTACCCAAAAAACGAAATATACGAATATACAACATATTTAGATCATTAGAAAACGTGTAAGATTTGTTTTGAATTTACAAAAATGTATGTAACTTCCTTCAAAATTGAGATAGAAGCTTCAAATAAAAAGCATTTTAAGCCTCTTTTCTTCCTCTATCATCATGGTCATATTTCCATTGGTAATGAAGGGGGAGGGGGGGGGGTAACTTTACTCTATTTTCAATAGTTCGTATGTTGGTAAGTGAATTATTTTGATTATGATTTAAATCTGTAAATTGCTATCGTTGCTTTAGCAGAGAGGTGACGTGTGTTAATTTACATGATGCAATGTGTAAGATTTTGATTATTAATCATAATTTAAGTTATCCCAACTGTCGACAAAATGTCCACTGAATTGTCCACTAAATTGTTATGTCTTACAATGTCATAGGCGTAGCCAGGAGAGGGTGCGATGGTGCGATCGCACCCCCCCCCCTCCCCCTTCATTACCAATGGAAATATGACCATGATGATAGAGGAAGAAAAGAGGCTTAAAATGCTTTTTATTTGAAGCTTCTATCTCAATTTTGAAGGATGTTACACACATTTTTGTAAATTCAAAACAAATCTTACACGTTTTCTGATAATCTCATTATGTGGGCACCCCCCCATAACCGATGAAAATATGGTCATGACGATAGAGGAAGAAAAGAGCCTTAAAATATGCTTTTTATTTGAAGCTTCTAGCTCAATTTTGAAGGATGCTACACACATTTTTGTAAATTCAAAACAAATCTTACATGTTTTCTGATAATCTCATTATGTTATACTCGTATATTCGTTTTGTTTTTGGGTAAGCTTACCCGTTTTTTGACCGGGTACCGGGTACCAAGTTTGAACCCAGCATGGAGGATTTACTACCCGGTACCCGGTTTTTTCTACAAATCCTTTCTAGATATCAGCGTCCATTTATTGTAACTCGCGTTTGCTAACATTTGCTCAGTTCTGAGATGAAGGCCACACGGATAGTAAAAAGGCCAACGTTGGAACTATTTGACCTACATCCCTATTGTTGTAATTAAAATGAAAGTTGAACCCTTCCTCTTTATTTTGATACCAAACAACAGCATGCTAGGTACTTAAAATTAGGTAAACTTTACTCCTCAAAAGTGCAAAAACTTAGCTTCTTATATAAGATTAGATAATCACAATATAGGGGATTGCAACAATTTCGGAAATTCGCGGAGGTCGAAAGCCACATTTGCGGGACTTTGCGGGACATTGCCGGACACGCGAATTAGCCTAATTTTGATCGAATTCGCGGGATAATCCCGCCATTCGCGGGACACTTGACAGCTCTGCTGTACTGTATTTCCAATCAATAGACTATAATGACTAACCCTAAATAATGTTTAATCTCAAAGTTTAAAGCAGATATGAAATGGTATTTTTGACCTAAAGGAATCAATATAATTTTTTGATAAATGTATTTGGACATGTTTTCTCATCAGTATTGTGAAAATTCTTTCACTCTTACGATCGTTATAGCTGCTTAATAAGCAATATTCGATTCAATCATATGGTTGCCGTGACGTCGTGATTACTAAGGAACCAATAAATTAAAACTATATATTATGTATGACGTTACTAATCATGTGGGGGCCAATCTGATTGATCAGTTAATTTTATTACGTTATTTATGACCATTAACAGTTATCTAACATTTCTTTTATAATGGCTATTGCAAAAACTCTACGTTGGGCTTACAATGAAGAAAACCGCATTTTTGAAGCTGCAAGTTGAGAAAACCTATTTCAGTTGTCCTTTAATCTAACAGTATCGTAAAACATAATTTTAATTAACACTTGTCTGATTAACTAATTAACAATGATAAAAAATTAAGAGCTGAAATTAACTTAATTTTGCAACTTAATTATTTTTAGCTGTTCAAGTACAAATGTGGAAGTTCTCCAAGAACATCAACGAGATGCCAATGTTTGTATCTGAGGAACCCCTGCTGTTTCTATGTCTGAAGCACAATGCCATTGACATCGCCAAGTTCCTCATAGACAAGTCTCTAGACTGTTATGTTACTTGGGAGGTGAGTAAACTCTGCACATAAACAGATAAATATAATGGAGGTTGTGTATGTGACACAAAAATGGGAAAGAGTGAAATGAGCAAAAATTCCAGAAACATTTAAGAAATTCAAAGGAAAAATATTAAACAATTGTATTTTAACTAAAAACTACTCCTTCATTTTAAAACAAGGCATTACCATGCCAAATGTCATCATCTGCCATTTGTTACAGGTACTGACCACCAAATGCCGAACACTAACCACAAACTGCTGAACACTGTCCACAAAAAAGTTGGAGACTATAACAATATGTCACCACTTATGTTCGTGACGGAAAACAAATTATAGATATTGTAATTAATGATATTTACTGATATCTCAACCCTGAACATGTATATGTATATTTTAAGGGCAAGACATTTCGAGATGCAGCCAGAGAAAGCGCCATTCAGGAGCTAATTGCTTGTATAGAAGAGGCCATTAGGATAAAAACACTACAAGCTGCTGTTCAAAATGACCGTCGTTCATCAGCATCTTCGTATGGAAGCCTCCCTTGTAAGTAAAAAGAGACCCCGTGAAATATCATGGCCGTGATTAAAACAATAAAGTATAGGCCATATATAAATATACTTGTATTGAATATTCTAAAAAATTATATAGAAATGCTAAAAAATCAGGCAATTCATTCAATTTTCAAGTGAAAAAATACGAAAAAAGCATGGTCAGAATGACATTTTTCTCAATGGAATATTTTTTTTGATGCACTGCAAAAGCACATTTAAAAAATGTTTGGCACCTCTCGAACACAAAATGACTTTTCCACTGACTTTTGTGAAGTCATTCTCTTTCTTAATGAACACCCAATGCAGATTGTAGATGATTAGCTGATACCATAGTTACATGTACGTAATTGTCAACACAAAACGTATGTTTAATCAGCGAGCAACATTAACAAGAAATTATATGGATTTTTTTGGATAATTTTTTTGTATCATTCCTTGTCATAAAATGTTTTTAAAAATATATTATTGTTAAAAGCTTTTGTACATTTGTTTTTGAAGATATATACATTCCTTGTTTTTTATTATGGAGAATTTACATATTTTTGCATTTTAAATCTTAATAAACTCAAAACCCAATTACTACAATAACGTCATTAAGCGTTGTCATAATCTTAATAAACTCAAAAGCCAATAATGTCAGAAAATTATTGGCTTTTAAGTTTATGAGTTTTTGAGTTCATCCTTAGCTGTATCACTGTCCTGCATATCACACATTTGAATGCTGCATTTTCAGATGCTGCCACACCAAATGCACCACATGCACTTTGTAAGTTCTAATATTCTCATGTTGCACATAACAAAAATATTCATGCTAACATCTTCGACTTAATTAGTGTGTGCCAAAACTCCAGAAAATCACAAAAACCTATGTTGTGGTAGCTTACTATGAAGTGACCCATTATCATTATAGATTGGTCCATCAACTATTCATTTTTACTTGTCTGCACTCAAAAAGGTGACACGAAAGGGCTAAACGGCTTGCACCAAGGTTCAACCATCAAAAAGATGAGTTTGATAAAAAATTATTTTTTTCAAATAATAGCAATGGGTATACAATATAGGAGGCAAATTTGATATTGATAAGTATGATAGTCCATTTGCGTGTGGCCATTTTCATAAAAAACAATAATTGTGAAGAATTGTATATTTCTGACCTGAAAATACCATCTTAATTGAAAAGTCATGGTTGTTAATGATAATATTCCTATTTCACCTATTCATTGTTTTCAAAATATTTTAATTACCATTATATTCATTTTTGGCAAAGTAAATAAATATAGGGCTCACACAAGGATCAACTTTATTTGCAATATTTTCATATTAAGTGATGTTTTGAAAAAATATAAGGTTAAACACAATTTTATTTGTTGAATGTTTAACAAAATAAACAGAGTGTGTTTATTTCATTGTTTTGACTGAAAAATCGCAATTCATTGCTCTTCCTCTAAGAACGGCAGGGGATATACAAGTACATAAACAGTCTTAAAAAACGTTGATCCTTGTGTAAGCCCTACACTTATTTACTTTACCAGAAACTGATATAATGGTTATTCGTCGGTATGAAAATCATTTCAAAGGTAAAATAGGAATAATGTCTTTGAACTTGGAATAAAAAGCATTATATGGTTAGAAATACCCAATTTTTACCATAATTGTTTTTAATAATATAACCATACCCTCATGGACTATCTTTACATTTCAATAACCAATGTGCATTATATCTTGCATGTTTTACTGCAATTATTTGTAAAACTATTTTTAAATCTTACATTTTTGACTGGAAAATGAAGAGACAATACTCAAATATACTCATATTATTGGTCACATTTGGTTATTTCACCCAAACAGATTCGAGATTTTTTAGTCCAGGCATATGAAGAAACTAGTGTGAATTAAATGGTCATATTATTTGTTGTTTGATTTAGCTAAATATAATATGTTGAACCTGCTTTGGCCATTAAACTTTAAATTTGCTTTAAATTTAGATTTTGGAAAACACATCCGCTTACTGATCCAATTCAGAACTATTAAAGAAAGTAACTCTCGTGAAAAACTTAGTCATCGTGACTGTTTATTACTAATTGCAGTCATTAAACTAATGACCTCATATTTGGATATCCTCTCTTCTGATATGATTTTACAATTTACTTCAAATTGGCAAAGGACCAGGTATAGTATGGCAAGTGATATTTGATCGTCATATATTTTACCATGACTACTTTCTCAATATAAATATGACATTTCTCAAAAACACAATATGTTATCTTTCAAGAAAATTCAATTCTCAATCATTATAAAAATATCATTCAAACAATCTAAAAAACTATGAATGGGGAACCCATCTCAACATTTTTTTTGAAATTATTTACTCAACAGAGGTTCTTCTTTTTTATTTGAATTGCATGAAAATATTATTCAACAAGTGGTCTAAAACTTTTTCATTAGTAGAATTGTAATGAAAGTGTAGTTTTGGAGATATGAATTTTCAATGACCAAAATTATGTTGAAAACGATGGATAGTCTGAGTTTTTCCAATGGTAAATAACATGGATTTTGTGGTTTTTAACTTTATCACATTTCAATACCCGTCCCCTTTTCAGAATTTGTTAATTCATTAGCGTAGAAGTACTTTTGATATATTCGAATTAAGAAAAAATACTTTAGAAAATAAGCCTAATATTTTTCAAAAAGTGACAAGGTGGGGATCTTATCAATAATATTTCAGATATATTTTCAAATATTTATATTTTCAATTGCAATTTATTTATACATTCAAGCATTATGTTTACGAATGTTATTAATAACAGGTGGCACCACATTTGATGCTTATACCCGTACATATAGTAGTAAAATCATGTAGCGTATCATTAAGTTCTCAAGGAATCAAACCAGAATGAAATCATAAAAAATAAGTTGAAAAATAAAGGTTGAGGGGGATTCATGATGTTTTTTCTTTTCAAGTGAAGAAGTTGGATGATATCATTTTTATCACAGGGACTTTACATAAGAAAAATCATATTGTTTTCACAAAAACACGTTCAGCCCCAAAACGCCAAATACTAATTCGATATTGAGCTATGACCTTGAAATGATCTTGATCCATAAACACTGACTTATAGATCTCTTGTCACTTTATCATTGGTCATTAAATAGGACTGTAGCCCCACATTTGCCAACTACCTAGATATTGACCTTGAAATGACCTTGACACCAGGTCACCTAATCATTGGTCGCCAAAGGTCACAATTCTTCTCAATTGCCTTTAAACTCCAAATTGCTAGATATTGACCTTGGAAGTCACCCTATCATGAGTCGCTAGGGGCCACAGCAGATACCAGAGGGCCTTAATACACCAAATACTTAGATACTGATATTTGACATTGGAATAACCTTGACCTCAGGTCACACATTCATGATTCACAAATGGTAACCTTACCCTAAAAACGCCAAATACTTTGATATTGATGACCTTGCAATCATCTTGACCTATAGACCTTGACCCTGACAACAGGTTGTCGGTTGTTAAGGGTCAGAATTGTTCTCAATTGCCTTAAAACACCAAATTGCTAGATATTGACCTTGAAATTACCTACACCCATTCAGTTGATCTTTACCTCAGGTCACATAATCATCGGTTGTGAAGGGTCACACCATCGGCAAAATGTCTTAAAATGCCAATTATCCTAGATATTGATATTTTAAACCTGAAATGACCCTGACTTTTGACCTATGTTGAATACATATTTTATGAATAAAACATACGAAGTTGAAAACTGATTTTTTTGAAATGAAATTGCTGCCAATGCTTCAAAACTAAGGTATCTTTATTGCAAAAGTAATATTTAAATTGAATAAACCAAAAGAGATAGACTTAAATTATCTAATTTTCCATCAGATTTAGTAAAATTACTACTCTTTACTCTTAAGTAAATGTTGCAATGAATGCTCACATATAATATCTTGTTGTATATCAATCTAGTGCAACTGCTACAGGTATCACGTACGTATCTGTAAACAAATCAAACTTCTTTGATGTTGATGTAATGCAAATTGGTATCTTTTAATATGACGTCCGTAAGATAAACCATCAATACTTCTAGGATTGTCAAAACTTGCGAATAAAATCAATTCCCTCTCATCACTGTCACACCCATTACTACAAGATGATGTCCCTTAGATCACTGTCTGCAAGCTATAAACTAAGTGATGCACTAAATGCTCGTAATACTTTTTTATTCAAAATCAAAAGTCAATGATACTATTCCTATTTTACCTATTAAATGATTTTTATATATCCGAATAACCATTATATACGTTTTTGACAAAGTAAATAATTGTAGGGCTCACACAAGGATCAGCTTTTTAAAGACTTTTTCGTACTGGTGTAGACTCTCCTGCTTGCGAAGCAAGGGCGATGAATTGAGATTTTTCAGTCAAAACAAGAAAACAAACATACAATTGTTTTTTCTTCAACAAATAAAAAATAAAATTGAGTTTACCTTCGTATTTTTTCAAAACATCACTTAATATGAAATTGCTATGAACAAAGTTGATCCTTGTGTGAGCCCTATAATTATTTACTTTGTCAAAAACTAATGAAATGGTTATTGGTATATTTAAAAAACATGGACTATATAAAATAGGAATAATATCCTTGACAACAGTAAATTTTTAATTGAAAACGCATTTTAAGGTCATAAATATCCATTTTTTTACCATAATTGTTTTTCATAAAATTACTACACTCGAATGGACTATCATTACACATCAATATCAAATTTGCGTCTTATTTTATATACTTACAAGTATTATTTAAAAAAAATGTATATTTTGCAAACTCATCTTTTTGACGGTCGCACCTTGGTGCAAGCCGTTTAGCCCTTTCGTGTCACTATTTTGACTGCAGACAAGTAAAAATGAATAGATAATAGATCAATCTAAAATGACTATGGGTCAATTCATAGTAAGCTACCACAACATAGGTTTAGCCTAACTAAGCCACTTAGAAAGCAATTTGGCACACACTATAATATAGAACATTAAAAGAACTGGAATGAATGAATCAGTAACCAGTAGCAAGTAAAATGAAAAAGAAAAGCTTGGCCAAATGGATCAATGTTGTTGTAGGTTTTGGGCTACCTTCTTCCGAGGCCATCTCTGCATATATCACTAACTAAATGTTAACATACTACTTTGAATTGATACATCATGATTACATGTTAACATACTATTATACAATTTGATATAACTGCATGTTAACATACTACTTTGAATTGATACATCATGATTACATGTTAACATACTATTATACAATTTGATATATCACTAACTAAATGTTAACATACTACTTTGAGTTAATACATCATGATTACATGTTAACATACTATTATACAATTTGATATATCACTAACTGCATGTTAACATACTACTTTGAGTTAATACATCATAATTACATGTTAACATACTATTATACAATTTGATATATCACTAACTGCATGTTAACATACTACTTTGAATTGATACATCATGATTACATGTTAACATACTATTATACAATTTGATATATCATAACTGTATGTTAACATATAATTATCAACTCCATGAGTATACAGCCACATTATAATGATATCAATCCATGTTATAGAATCCAAATTTATGAACAAAACTAACTGAAAATCTCTTTCCTAGATGAACCTCCAGTGTACAAACCAAGACCTCGAAAAGAATTTTCCGTAGAACCAAAAAACATTGATTCTCGCTATCTGGCTGACCAGTTAGGCGAGGCATTACAACTGGCTTTGGCAGAAGTTGCGGACAAACGTCCTTGGGATCCTATTGAATACCTTGCTCAATGGCTATACAAACATGCAGAGAATTTGAAAAATGATGAGGAGGTTTGTATCTTTAAAAAAAATGTCAATGTAACTCTCAATACAACTTTCCTCGATGTCTCAACTCTTTATATATATTTATTTATTTGATCTAGATAAATATATCCAAGCTCAGGATGCAGTCGGAAAAACGCAACTTTACATTGATCACACTGTTTACATTGATTTCACTTTAAACCTCCCAGTAAAGATCTCTGACACTCCATTTGAGATTATAAAGATCATTTTGAAATAATCTACAATTGTCAGGTGGTTAGATAATTAGCTTATTAGGCACTTAAGAATTGAAAAATGAAAATGGCTGCAACAATACTATTTCAGGAACGAAAAGAGAAGTATAACTTGGAAGTTGAGAAATATGATGCCCATAGGGAGAAACGACGAAGCAAGCGTCAAGCAAAGGAGGTTGAATCTATTAAGTTGGCCGATGCTGAACAAATGAAGAAAAAGCGTCAAGAGGAAGAGAAAAAGAGGAGGGAGAAAGAAGAGGAGGAGAAAAGGATGGCAGAACTGGAGGAAATACAGAAGAAGTAAGGAATAATACAACCATTGACTTTGCACAGTGGGCTCAATAAGGAGATATATATAGCAATCTTGGTAGTTTTTTTCATTTCATCAATCTAATCCATAGTTTTGGCCTCACAAAATAAGAGTTTTATAGTAAACTTTAGGCCAACAGGCTTAAATTCAGCATGAATTACAATACTGCCATTGATCATCAATGAACAAATGCAAGGACCTCACCTGTCTCAAACTCACAATCTCATAGTTGTGAAAGTGCTTTGCTTAGCACTCTAGACCTATCGGCCAGCTCGACAACCCCAAGAATTTAGGAATCATAATCTACAACAACAACATTTTCAAGATACCAGCTCTGATATACCCATATATGTTGATGCCTAATGTAAAGATATTCTTATTTCACTGCATTTCTACTTTGTTTTTTCAGGAATCGTGAGAATGTAGAACAATATGCCCAGAAACCTGACCTAGAGTCTGTGATTGAAGAAGATGAGCCTAATGCTAGCAAAACACTTGCCCCTCCTAAAATTTTAAAGGTATGGGTAATATTTTTAATATTTAACATGTGTACTGGTGATCAACTCGATTACGCTGGAACCATTTGGATAACAAAAATGTCGGAATGTCGAAGTCACGATTTTTCCTTCTTCCTTATTTCACACGTTGTAGGCAGAATTCCCACGACATTTTTATCACAAACGTGTATCAGTATCATATGATTAAGAAAATGTACACATTTGCGAAAAAATAGTTCAGAAGACAACGGAATCGTCGATTTAATCCCTCACTTAAGTTACCGAAAGAGGATTTCGAAAAACAGTTAAGATCTGCACTTTTAACCCTTACCGTTTATGTAACTTAAGTGAGGAATTAAATCCACGATTCTGTTGTCTTCTGAGCTATTTTTTCGCAAACATGTACCTTTTATAAAACATATGATACTGATACACGTTTGTGAGAAAAAATGACGTGGGGATTCTGCCTACAACGAACGAAATAAGCAAAAAAGAAAAATCGTACCTTCGACGTTCCGACATTTTGTTACCGAAACGGAACCGAGCGGATCACCAGTGATGTGGTTGTTCATGGGGTACTTTTGGATCTATGAACAAGGACTGGTTCATATCATTAGTTTTAGAATTTTCTAACCAAAAACCAAATGATGGTTGATATTCATGAATAAAATAACTAGCTTCAATTTCATTAAATCAATCCAAAATATTTCAACTAAATACATTCTTGGTTGTTTTGAACTATTTTATGAAAAACAGTAATATGAGCAAATCTTAAGTATTTGATTGACAAGTCATTGACCTTTCACATTATCTAGCCCATGGGCACATTGCTCTGAGTTTTGGCGCTCCAGGGGCCTGACCAATGAGTATTTTGTTCAAAACTGAATGCAATTTTGAACAAAAAACTCATTGGCCAGACCCTGAAAATCGAAGCAAATGTGACCATGGCATAAGCACTTATACATAATGAGGTATACTGACAAAATAGTGCAGTTAGCCACTGGTCTTGAAGTTAATGATCACTATGGTAAGCATTTATTAAATTCTTATCTTCAGGAGGAGACTGAAAAAGAAGATGAAAAGGAGGATGACCCACCTGATGCAGAAAATGCAGGGGAAGATACACAGGGCAAATAACAGAAGTGAGATAACATAGGGGAAGACATGCACAGACAAAAAGGAGAGGATAACAGAGAGACCCACTAAACCAACCATAATAGATATATCATGAACATACAGTACTTCTTTTACTTCAAATGTTTAAAGGATTTTAAATGAATTTATTATTTGTGAAATATTATTTGGAGCATCAACTTACTGTAAGTTACAATATTAATACTATATGTAATAGAGAGATGCTGGCAAGGAAATGGGGAAAGAGAGGGCATTGACATTTTCTCCTTCATAATGATGATAATTGCACCAAAGTTGACGCATGTAATGGTAACATTTATTCAAACGTGTGGGTGAATGAGAGAGAAATGCTCTGTTTCAACAGATTACATTCTGATGCTCATCACATGTTTCTGCCTTCAACTAGAAAGAAGCTAATAGAAGGCCATGATTTCTCATGATGTACAGATTATTGGAGTGATAAAAGGATAATTATTATATTAGTTTATGTTGATAATTGTTTATCAGTGCATCATAAAGGGCTTGAATATTGCCAGAACAAGCCAGTTCTTCAGAGGGAATTATAACTCTGCGTCATCATAGCCAGGTTTTGTAATTTTGTTGTCTGGACAAAGACCTATCAACTACTACGTGGGCTCAACTATCGAGGAGTTTCAACCATTATTTTCTACCAGAAATATTATGTATTTGCTGCCAAAACAATGTCAGAAAGTTTTATACTAGTACTGGAAAGAAGGAACTTTTGTTGTGTCTCTACTGGAACAAGTTTTGAAGACTTTATAACAGTCAAACATTAATGGGAATTTTAACACGCCTTGGAGTTGAACCTGTATGATAATTGTTTATCACTGTGTGCCATCTTAACTGTGCATTTATTGATAATTGCCAATGTATGTAAAGAAATGAAGTAAAATACAATAAAATCTTGCCATTATAAAGCTCATTGTTCTCTACATGTATTTTAATACTGAGACAAGAGAAAGTTGCAATTGTTTTTCAAAAAGTTGCGGGAGGGGTATGCAAAAGTTGCAATCCAAAAATAACAAAAGTTGCCACATGTAAAACCAGCATAAAATGACCAATTATCGGTAAAAGCAAAAGGATCTTTCAAAAAAATTGCTTAATTCTGATTTTGAGTGGTCTTATCATGGAATTTACGATAGATATTGAGTGGAAAACGAGCTGAAGTGTTAAAATTACTGTAAGTTGCGCTGTTTGTAAAAGTTGCACTCTGTACTAAAAGTTGCGGGAAGTTGTTGCACGCGCATCAATGCAACTTTCTCTGGTGTCAGATAATATCATACCTTTGTGAAATAATATACTATGGAATATTATGAGAAATAATTTGCTCATGCTTAATATATATAATGTGTTAAGTGGAGGCAACCATTTTAAATACAAATGGGATATAGAGAAATGTCAACATATCTAAAATGACTGCCAGAAAAACGAAAGTGGTACTCTGACATCTTTAGGAAATTAAAGTAATATTGACGAGCAATTTTCCAAGAATTTCAATTCCAATTTTTACCTCATCAGATTTGAATTAGCCAATTAAACATGATAGGGGTGTGAACTTGAAATTTATTCTGACGATGTGTCTTACCCCCTTTTGGACATAAAGTTGAATATGTCAGCACATGTTGATGATTGGTAAGTAAAAAAACAATCTATCCTAATAACCTTCTTTAGTTTAGTGAATTTCGGTCATGAACCGTTCAGAAACAACAGTTAAAACGAAGATTGTCCGTGTCAGTTTTGATTGTGCTGCCGTGAAACCAATGGGGTTTTCTCATTTACATAAACATGTGAGCCATGTCAAAATGGAAATAACGTAGCTAAACTAGGGCCCAATGTGATCCAACAAAAAGCAGGGGAGATGCATGTAGGAATACCCCTAGGAAGGCACAATGATTTTGTGAAACAAACTGTGTGCAAATCCAAACGGAAATTTTTCTCACTACTAGGACTAGGCTCTCTTACTGGGGGTCTATGCCCATTAATGGCAAGTAAGCTGAATTGGTCTTTTTCTATGAGCAAACTGCTATACGGATGCCAAGTGATAGACTACACCCATTGTGAAACGGAGCAAATGGAAATTTCACATAGAGAAATCGGAAGGAGGATACAGGCACTCCCGAAAAGTTCTCCGAACCCCATTGCTATCGCAGGTCTTGGCTGGCTCTCTATAAAAAGACAGATGGATTTTACCAGGCTGATGTTCTTCTGGAGCATTGTAATATTACCGATGAACAATATATACAAAACTGTCCTGATTCATCGACTGTTGTGGCTTATAGGGGGGAATGGGCGGCACAATTCCCCACTTTCAATCATGTGGGAAACCTTAGAACGCTACAATTTGAACAATATGGTGTTCAGGATGATAGAGTCTGGGGAATTTCTCTCCAAATCAGCCTTTAAACGTCTTGTGAGTGGTATAATAAGGTGCAACGAAGCCCATAGTGTTATCATGATGTGCTCATTGTATGATTCTTTAACTATGTTTGTAACTACTGTCAGGTCATTTATGCAGCCAATCTTATGGTGGAATATTAGTAAGAAAAGGCCTATTCTCAACAAACAATGTATCCTAATGTTCAAACTGCAAACGCGTTGCTACCCATTTGATATTAGTGCTTTATGCCCTCTGTGCAGCAAAGAAAATGACACCTTGGAACATTTCTTATTGCGGTGTGACGCACTTTCTCATGAGCGACATACACTTACCATGCTTTTAGAAAGTGAAGAGTGCCATACAATTAATGAAAAGTTGAGCTTCATTTTTGGTATAAATCATTTGAGTTTGGGCCCGGAGAGCCTTGATTCTCTCTGTTCTGTTTTGATTAGCATTCACTCTATGCATAAAGCCAGGGAGACTATGTTAAGGCATTTTAACTTTTTGTACCTGTAACTTTTATATTACTCTTTTCTTTTACCTTATATCATTGTATACCATGTAACTGTCTAAATGAATAGACGCAAATAAAGAATACATACATACATAGACTGCTATGGGGGATTTCCGAAGCAGGGTGATATACATTAGCAGAAAACACAATCGCCACTTAAATTACATTTCCCTGTTTATTCTGTTCGTATCAACCCTTTTTTACATGTCATATATTTATTAATCAATTATGTAGCTAATGATGTGAACGGATTGCAATGCCATAGAGTAAAATAACCGCAAAACGGTACAGAAAAAGGTACCTAGATCTGAGAAAATCTACCCCACTATACAACATTGTCTAATGAAGACCAAACAAAGCCCCAGATGTCGTGTCGTTTCTCTATTTGTCTGGTACACAACTAAGCCCCGGGTATTAAATAAGCTCTTGAAATATCCATGAAAATGTTTAATCAATCCATCAAGCAGAAAAGTGCTGACAATAAAAGTGAGACCCCTTCAGCCATCTGACTTAATCTTAATCTTTTTTAAGTTTGATAAAATAAACATCAAGAAAATTTTATCTTTATTTCATAATACTGTATGTAAGTAGCTTCCAATATGAGAAAAATTATACATGCTATTCCAAGTCCTCTGCCACATAGAGAAAAATATCAGTTAAACACAAACAATCCAGACCCCATTTAAACCAGTCATATTTTGAAAAATTGTGATTTGCTAAATATTATGTAAGTTTCATGTGAATTATTGTTTTAAAATATTATTCTGCAAGATGAACATTTTCAACTCAAAATACTGTAGATTTGAATCTTTTCGTCTTGTGTAAAACATTTCCTTCATCTAGCGATCTATTCAAAATCATACACCTTTACAAAAATATAATCCATGTTCTTTAACTTTATTTACTTTATTTCTGCTTTCTATAGAAATCCATTAGGGCTATAGAATAATACCTAGGGTCAATATAAACTTTTATACAAATATTGAACAGAAATCTATTCAATGGCATTCCTTTCAACGGGGCCCTTAACATGTATAAATATGGTTGCTATGGGATTTATGTCTACATGGAGACAGTATAGCTGTATAGGGAATTTCCTACTATAGAAGCCTATGAAAAATTGATCCAATTTTTGTTTTATTTGCAACAGTGTTACAGACTAACAGAATTCATTAGAGAGAGACTGTGATTATAATAGGATAGCAGAGAAACATAAAGAATTATAGTGAATTAAATTCACATTTAAAAAAGGAAATATATAATAGAAAATCCAAGACATTGAAAGGTAAATCATGACTACTTTTGACAGCTCAAAACTTCTAAAAGCAATCAAAGATAACAATACTGAAGAAGTGAAGAACTTAATTAATGGAGATGAAGATACAAAAATAAAAAATGCACAAGGGGAGACATATCTCCATGTGGCGATAAAATCAAAAGTTAGCAAGAATGTCATCCAAAGCTTACTTCCTGTTAGTGACATCACAGAACGTGATGAGAATGGCGACACTCCGTATGACCTTATATGTGATAATGAGTACCCCAGAGATGTAGAGGAGGCTGTTGATAACCATCTCCATGAACTTATAAACAAGGGAGATGAGAAGGTCCTTGAGAAGCTGGCTCTGGCTGGGTACCTGACCAAGCCAGTTAGGTACAGTCCAGATGGAGAGAAAAATGAAGATGTTGAGAATATCATTAGACGACTTCCAGACTTCCAGGTGAGTTCGTTGTCTTGCTAGAGTTAATGTAGGCAGGGTATAATAAACAATCTGACTAATAACATTGGTATTGCACATACAGGTCTAAATGTCATTCCTCTATAGGCTTGCCAAAAGGCTTAAATAACAAACTGGATTTAACTTAATGTAAAGTCATATCTCCCTAGAATTCTTACAGTCACAACATGACGCACAAATATTTTCACATTTCGATTATTTCATATTTCATCTATGGTACTTCACGTCATGTGCACTAGCTTATGTTCAATTTTCTTAGTATGGATATACCAAGTTTATAGACAAGTATTTTTTCTGCATAATGCATTACTAAGTAGAAACAGACATTATTCTCCTCGTGATGTTTTCTCAAATGGATGCAATTAAAGTTCTCATTTTAGCCTCTGCATGATCATTCACTACACAGATACAACATTTCAAAAATTCATCAAGCTAATTTATATATTTCAGGACAAGGTCTACCAGATCCACAAGGCGATCAAAGATGGAGAACTACGTTCTGTACAGACCATGATGGATAGAAAAATTATCGTCTTAGCTCGGGATGTGACGGGAATCCCCCCACTACAAAAAGCAGTAATTTACGAGCACTCTGACATCATTAGGGAAATCCTGCAGAATTTTCCCAATGCAGTTAACAACCAGGACAATGTGAGAATTGTTTAATAAAGTTTCTCTAAAAATGTTAACTTCACTTTTTTATCTTGAAATTTGTTTCTGTTGTGGCATCTATGTACAACTTAAGAATTCAGTCTTTCGAAGCAAAGTCCTGATTTTCTATTTTATCCATTTTACCCTCTCAAAATATGAACAACAAAGATGAACAAGAACTGTGTGAATTACATATGATTTATTTACTGTTCATCATTTTTTAGTTGTTTTAAAACCAAATGTTGTAGTTCTACTAATCAGTGCTAACACTCTTATGTTAACTGAATAGAATATGTGCCAATTGCATGTCTATTATAGTATTGGTATGAATTATTCATAATAAGACCTTCATGTTTTTTTCTGCTTTTGCTCATTGCCATTGGGTCATTATCCCTACATAAAACCGATTCAGAAAATCCTCAGCACCAATGGAGCCTTATATTAAAATAAATTTCATATTGATGACCATATCATGTTCTAGTTACAAGCATTGAACAAAAGATGCATTAGCTACCTTAGTTTTCCTTTTTAACTATTTTCCAATAGTGGCCATATTTGAATATATATGTATGATATAAAGCTATATTTGTTTCAGATGGGTCGTACTGCCCTCCACTATGCAGCAGCCTCTAGAGATGGAGGTCACATGTATAATGTTCTCATCAGAGGAGGTGCAGATGAGACCATAAAAGATGTGGTAAGTTGATGATAAAATCTAATGATTTTGATGCCATAATGGCCACCTTAACATTTCCCCATTAAATTAAATAGTTTGGCTAAAAACCTGTTAACAAGATTAATCTGGATGCCAGTCTACCCGGCACAAACTGATCACAATATAGCACCCAAGGGTGCGATAGAAATGCATGTAATGACAAATCAATATCTACCTTAGGCTGAACATGACCCCAAATACTACAAAGACGACCCAGCATATCTGCAGGTGAAAAAGTTGCAAGCTCGTCTCTCGGAAATACAGGAGAGGAAGAAGAATTCATCACCCTCGAGGCCCTGGTCTCATAAATCAAGGTCAGGATCGGCTAAAAGTAAAGATGGTTCTCGACCAGTATCTTCCTCATCTGCAAAGCCTACAGCGAGGCCAGTGTCAGGGAATGCAGGGAAAGGTAAATGAAAATTGATTTTCATATTATTGAATATTAACAGAAAACAGAGATTCAAATCTAATCATCAAAAGCAGATCTTATTACCACTCTTAGTAAATCCCATATTATGAAAATAAATCAAGATTTAATATACAAAGTTGTTGATTTTCTTTCTCAGAGATATTTCTTTTTCTTTTTGACGTTTCGTAGGATGTCCATCCTACTTCTTCAGAAATAAAATTATATTTTGAAAAGAAAATCAACAACTTTGTACATTACTACCAAAGAGATGAACATTCATAGAAGCAAGATTAAATATGTCCAAGTATTGATATAAAATCAAATCAAATTCATCCTTTACATTTAATTGCTATATTCAAAAATGTCGAAAATTTCAGGTGATTCTAAACCAGCCACCCCATCTATCAATCTGAGCCTTTATAACCGACCCAATGATCGTGATGTGTTCACTAGACGGGGCGTGTCACCACCTGAGACAATAGATGGAAAATATGTATCTGAGCAACTTGGGTATCCTCTTACAATGGCTCTGGCTGAGTTGGCAGATAAACGCCCCTGGGACCCTATAGAGTTCCTGGCTCAGTGGCTGTATAAATATTCTGACAATAAATCTTATGAACAAGAGGTATGCATACCATTGAAAGCTTATTGGTGAACCACAATAATTTCAATCTATTTTTTGGTACATATCATGTAAATTATTAGGATTTGAATTTCCTTAAAGTCTACAAATGTGAAGATAGAAATGATTCAATGCTTTTCCTCTCAAATTCTAAAATTTTGAATCATTTTCATGTGTGACTGCATATCCAACTCCTTTCCATTCTAAATCACAACGATCAATATTTACTATTGATTTGCCAGCAAAGAGACATGGCAGAACAACTGAAGCAGGAGATCCAAAACAACAAGGATGAGAAGAGGGGCAAGGAGAGAAGACAGAAGGAGATGGCTGAGATCAAGGAGAAGGAGCTCCAGAAACAGAGGGAGAAAGAAGAGGAGGAGAAACGCAAACAGAAAGAACAGGAGGATATGGCAAGGAGGTAAGATCAATAATTTCTACATTATGGATAAATAGTAATTGCTCATTCTAACACATGTTAAATTGTTCAACTTACTAGACATACAGTAAAACTTGTAAAGTGGAACACCTCTAGAAATGGAAAATCTGTGTTAGTAGGACACTTTTCCAAAGACCAACAGACTTAATGTTAAATGAACTTCTACACCAAACCAAGTACAAATATCTGAAAATCACATCTGAAAATAATTATTCATAACATAATGAAACTTTTCAGAGCTGCAGCTAAAGACACTGCACTACTCGCCCAACCTCCGAACCTTACCACCATCAAGGAAGATACAGAAGACATCCAGCAAACAATTCAGAAAGATGATGTTGGACAGACAGAGCTCCACAGAGCTGCGGCTGATGAAGAGAGTGACATAGTTACATTGATCAGACAGGGACATAACATTGCAGAGAGGGACAGTCATGGTAAAACTCCCAGGGATATTGCACTAGAAGCTGGCCATACCAAGCATGTAGAAGTTATAGGTGAGTTTGAAAATGCAATTTGAAATAATGCATTAATCCAGAAAATTGAGGGAGGTAGTGACAGTTCCTGTTAACCTGATCAATATTACGTCAGGTGCATTCAAATCTATTCATTATCATTTCTTTTCATTTTGAATAATATCAAATCACATCACTTTTTCACATCATCCCTTAGCAGCCCTGCATTTTCATGAACCAATTTTTGTCTTACTCAAAATATTCTTTGTTTTTAGATTCATCCGTGCAAGAGCTCTTCAAATTAGAGCAGACGGAATCCATACAGAGGCTGGTATTGAATGGTTATGCCAAGGAGCTGAATGAAGTTGTGGAAAAGATGGACAAAAATGCTCTTACTGAAGACATGCAAGAGATGATCAACTCCATTCCTAACTATTTGGTAAGCTCAAGTACTAAACAATACAATAAATATATGCCTAAAAAGTTCTCTTGTTATGATTTAAATCTCTTTAATTTTTCATTTAAATTTAAATGGAGCGTCTGAATGTCTAGAAATTCTGTACAATATACTTTATCTCTAGCTGATATTTTACGTCTTTCCACCTCCTTATTTGATCGAGACATCAAAAACTGCACTCCTATATTACATTAAAATTTCAAGCGCTTGCAAGACTTTGTATTTTTTCTTTTGAGTGCTTTATAATTCTTGTGTAAATCTTTTTTTGCGTTGAAATAAATAAATTAAAAGATAAAAAAAAATAAAATAAAGATAAATAAAATAAAATTTCATATTTTAGGAGAAAATCAATGATGTACACAAAGCAGCCAAGGCTGGTGTGCTACGAGACCTTCAGGGTGTAATGGACAGAAAGAAACTAGCGCTATCAAAGTCTGAGAAAGGCCTTACACCACTACATATTGCCATCCTTGGTGGACACCAAGATGCTGCAGAGTTTATAATACAACAATTCCCATCAACTTTAACAACCAAAGACAATGTAAGAGCATTTTTATTGAGTTTCACGCAACATATTGATGCAACAAAAATTGAAAAAGCAGGGGTGGAAGGGGTTGAAAATCAGGGTTGGTTGGTTGGTGGGTTGTTTGCATCTTCCCTGTCTCAAAGATGAAATTATTTTATCATCTCTATTTGAGCTTTTTCTGTAAGCAATGCATTAACCTAACATATGCACCAGTAACAATCTTCTTAGAAAGATGAACACTATCATGACTGCAAAAAAGCCCCAATGTAAGCTGACAGAAAAGCGTGTATCATGTTTTTTCTTGAAACCTAAAATAGGAAAAGCATAACTTGCAAAACTAAACCATAAGCACCTAAATAATAACAACAGGTATATCTACATGTGATGTCCATGAATTAAGATTTCAAAAGTATCATTTTATCTCATAAATTCATAAATTGAGATTCCTGTAATTTAATTCCTTTCTATTTCTTCTACTTCAGCTATCTCGAACACCTCTACATTATGCCTATGTGATATCAGATGAGTTGGTAGAACTGTTACTTGAGGCAGGTGCAGACACTAATGCCAAAGACATCAAACAACAAACTCCAGTGTTTTATAAAGACCACAAAGATGAAATACTAAAATTACAAGATGACTGAAATAAAGACACCGATAATGAATTTAAAAATGCATAATATCAGACATTGGCAATTTTTGTTATACATAGAGAGGTCCTGTCCTGAATATGTATAAATTCTAAAAGATAACTGGCTTCTTCATTTTGATCCATCAAGATATTTCATATGACTGAAGGAATAGACTGGTTTAACAGTATGCCCTTTCATAGGGAGGATACAATTCTATTCTAGGATCTGCTATAGGATATCCGTCAAATATGTAATTCAATGATTACATAGGAATATGTTTGTAAAATCCCTTGTTCAGTTTTTTATGTTGTCTGTCTGTGTTTGTTAGTTTTACTTATTATAGGGTTTTGATACATTAAAATGTCTGGTTAACTTTGGGTCATACTAGTATATATTAGTACTTAATAGTGCAAACACATAAACTTCAACTTATCGAATAGCACCAAATTATCAATACGTCCAAATATAAGTTCGAGGCAGAGTATATGTATATTGTCTTACTATTTTTGTAAATATGTGCAATTATACTATTTTCTTTAAATAACAATTTAATAAATAACAATAAACAATGAAATGAATAAAAATGTTGTTGATTGTTTGAACTCACCCATATCTTTGTTCCCTTCAAAATTAGATAATTTTGTTTATAAATGAAATGTTTGTTCAGAAAGGGTTGTACTTGGGAATTTTTAACAAATTAAACATCCCATTTGACATGTTTTAAATGCAACTGAGAACAAGGCATAACATGCAAAATGTCACCACCTGCCATTTGTTACAGATGCCAAATGCCAGAACACCATCCACAAATTAGTTGGAGACTATAGCAACATATCATCACCTGAGTTAGTGACATAATGAAACCAGAACAACGGCAACGCCAAAGCGTAGCGAATCCCATCGAACAGAAATGGCTGGCAATTTTACAAACGAATAGCAAATATCATAAAACAACACACCAGAAAGGCCACCATTTTCAAAATGGTTGCTCACTAGCCAAGTTGTCATCAGAAGAAATAATATGCTTTTTAGTAGCCACCTCCAAAATTTTTGAAAAATCGCACACGTACTTGTAAAATAACACACATGAAAATGGTGGCCATTTTTCAAAATGGCCAACTACTCACCAAAGTTTTATTAGACAATGTGCCATGCTTAAACTATTCACATATTAAATATGAACAAAAATCGCTCCACTACTTTTCGAGTTATAGTAAAATAAGTTAAAATGGTGGCCATTTTTCAAAATGGCCACCTTCTACCAAAAGTGTCATTAGAAACAGACAGTGTGCCATGCTTACAGTATTCACATACCAAATATGAACAAAATCGCTCCACTACTTTTCGAGTTATAGTAAAATACGTTAAAATGGTGGCCATTTTTCAAAGTTTTTTTTTCAAAATGGCCGCCTTCTAACAAAAGTGTCATAGGACAGTGTGCCATGCTTATAGTATTCACATACCAAATATGAACAAAATCGCTCCACTACTTTTAGAGTTATAGTAAAATATGTTAAAATGGCGGCCATTTTTCAATTTTTTTTCAAAATGGCCACTTCTACCCAAAGTGTCAGAGGACAGTGTGCCATGCTTATAGTATTCACATACCAAATATGAACAAAATCGCTCCACTACTTTTCGAGTTATAGTAAAATACGTTAAAATGCCGGCCATTTTTCAAAATTTTTTTCAATATGGCCGCCTTCTACCAAAAGTGTCATAGGACAGTGTGCCATGCATATAGTATTCACATACCAAATATGAACAAAATCGCTCCACTACTTTTCGAGTTATAGTAAAATACGTTAAATGGCGGCCATTTTTCAAAATGGCCGCCTTCTACCAAAAGTGTCTTTAGACAGTATGCAATGCTTATAGTATTCACATACCAAATATGAACAAAATCGATCCACTATTTTTTGAGTTACAGCAAAAATCGTAAAATGACGAGTAAAGGCCGCCATTTTTCAAGATGGCTGCCATGTGCTTCTTTAATATCTACATTTGTAGCATTATTAATGTCCTTTATAAATTTTTTACATTTAAAACATATTGCTATTACAGTTTTACATATTGCACCTAAATTACTGTAAAATCGGCACTAAAATGGCCGCCATTTTGAAATGAGCGGCCATTTTGAAAATCGGCTTTAGAGCAGAACTTCTACCCCCATAGGGTATATGTGTACAAAATATGAACAAAATCGGGCCAACGGTATTTGAGTTATTGCCCGGACGGACGGACGTACGTACGGACGGACAGACGGACGGACGTACGTACGGACGGACAGACGTACGTACGTACGTACGGACGGACGTACGTACGGACGGACGGACGGAGGCGTTCCCTATATCCCTCCGAACTTCGTTCGATGGGATAATTAATGTTTGACCCCTATACAGCGCTCTCACCAGGAAATATTTAGGGTGTGGTGCTAACATCTTCAGAATAACTGTTCAATCATGATAAATCATATTTATGTTAATGTTTTATCCTTTTTACATGCTATTATTGTATATTCAGTCAAGTTTAGACTGTGGAAACAGTCATGATTTGCCAATAGGGTGTGGAGGGAGCTAAATAGAGTGTGGTGCTGCGCCACAATCTAAAAGCCTGGCGAGAGCCCTGCTATATAAATTAAAATGATGTTTCAACTTGAAATAACAAGGAGTGTAATGAAACTATCAGATGTTTGAAAATCAAGTATGGTAAGACTTGTTTACTTGACTTGTTGCATTGGAAAAAAGCAAATGTTCTTTTCTTTCATACTTTGTTTTGAGACAGAGTTAAAAAGCCTCACCATCCTTGATTAGACATCTGAAACATCATTGTGAAAAAACATTGGTTTAAGGATGCAGTACCAGGTCAGCATAGAAAAAGTTCCAGACATTAGATTTTGCTCATATTTTTTACAATGTATCACTTTGATGTTATCATCATCCAAGTGCAATATGAAGAGGATTGACCGCCTGGTAATTACAAAATAAAAAAATTATTTTACCCACCCAAAATGAATCTTTTTACTTTTTTGAGTTTTCAATAGAGCTGGCACCTTTCGAACCCTGGTTTTCGTATCCACTAATTGCGACTCAAGAACAAGTTTTCTCAAACCGGAAGTCAAACCTGCGCAAACAGACGTGAAAACCGACCCGGTACTGCATCCTTAAGCCCCTGATTGATCGCATGTGATTATTTCACTTGTTTTCGGTACTTTTGAATATATATATTATCTTACCTGTTAATTTTCCTGAGGTGTAACCAAAACTATTATATACAGCTTTAGGTCGTGTTTGAGCTTTTTTGCACCAATCCTCAAATGCTGCTTCACTTTGACGTTGTTTCTCTAATTTCTTTTCTTGCTCTACTTGTTTGTGTCTTTTCGCCAGTTCAAGTTTTTTCCTTTGTTGTTCTTGTTTCATTTCTAACCATTCATGATATTCCTTTTCAGCTTTTTCCATAGTTTTTAACCTTTCTTGTGATTTTATTTCTTGTTCACTCTTATTTTTTTGACTTTGTAATTTTTTCTGGACTTTTAATTCAGTTGCCCGTCGTTCAATCCATTCATTGGTCACTTGTTCAGACTTTTTCAACTTTTCAATTTTCTCCTTTTCTTGTTTCTCTTTTTCTTCTCTAAGCTTTCGCTGTTTTTGTAGTTCCTTTCTCTTGTTTTGACGATCTTCTTGGGATTTTCTAATTAGCCAGCTTTCCCAATTTGACAGTTTTTCCTCAATTGTTTTAGCACTAGAAGTCTGACTGGTATCAGTTATTGGTGTTTCTGTTATAAATGTACGGTTTATACTGAAAGAGACAATCAAATAGTAAATTCTAATAAATTGCTTCAAATATACCCAAACCCTTGAAGTAGACTCTAATAGTTCAAACATACATGTACATGTGCCAAAGAGAAAGGACCAAAACCTAAACCCCAACAACCCCAAACCATAATCCAGCGAAAAAGGAAACAATGTCTAATATCACATGCTCAAGTTCCTTTATCACATCTAAGACCATAACACAAAAGGACATTTGATTCATACACAAGCCATTACAAAAGCCACACCTACAGTGCTGGTATATATTAATTGATTAGTCGTTTTATTGCCATATTTTCTTGAATTTTAACATTTAATGTCCCAAACTCACACAAACTGCAGAAAAGTATACACCATAAATCATATATACCAAAATAAGTGTCTCCAAGGCTTCACACCAGCGTATGCATAGTTCATTTGTCACGAGTTTGAGCTGAAATTTCGCCAAAATGAAGTAGGCTCAGGGTAGTCTCTGCCAGGTTTGTTTATTGTGGTAAGCTTGTAAGTGCTCAGAAGCAAATAATTCATGTGCGCAAAATAATCAAATAATATGCCATGTTTTTTCTAGTGATTTCATTTCGTTTCATGGAGTTTGCGTTTCAGTGTAACTTCCGCAAAAATGGCGGACCATGAACAGAATTAACAGGTAAAATCACTTCGTAATTTCAAGAGAACTTTTTACCTATAATAGCAAAACTTTTGTTTTATTTGTGCATTCTATCTATCAGATAAGAGTCTCAGGGGTATTTAGGCAAATTTATTTTGGTAGGAGCACTCTGTTTAGTTTGAAAACGCACCCTTAATTATTATATATCAGCACTGTAGATTCATCATTTTCTTCAGTATTTTTCTTATTTTTTATTTATTTCCTTACTCAGTATATACAAAATCTTAGCTGGATTGAAGAATACATTTCAAGACTTTTTGGACAACCCTTGTATATCTAGATTCATCATTTTCTTCAGCATTAATTATTCTCATTTTTATCTCTTTCCTTGCTCAGAATATACAAAATCTTAGCTGAATTGAAGAATTTATTTCAAGACTTTTTGGACAACCCTTGTACATACCTCGATTCATCATTTTCTTCAGCATTATTATTCCTATTTTTATCTCTTTGCTTACTCAAGTCATCATCACTGTCACTGGGACTTTCATAACTTTCATGATGCAATACAGATGTCAGTGACTCTGTAGAGCTGCTATCTGAGCCAAGTGAGAGTCTCTTTGTTCTCGGTACTATTGTATGAACTTTCATAGAAGCTGGCTTGAAGGTAGCCGTAACTGGTCTTGGACGTGCACTCATCCTTAATGTTTTCTGTAATCAAAGATGTATATCAAGGAGGTGTAATCATATAAACATCATGAACATAACATTTTACAAGAAGTATTGAGCTTACATACCAAATTCTTTATGGTAGAGACTGTAAGTTTCTAAAAATCTTTTCGATATTTTGATGCCTTCCCTTATCAAGTACCTTTAGAGTTTAGATTTAGTGGGAGAAATATCTAATGTGGCACCTCTCAAATGTATAGCATGTCCCATTTTGTAATCAATTTATATGTAAATTTTACAAAATATGAAGATGGAAGCTGCACCTGAACAATGTTTCTTTCAAAAACAAATTTTCATTGATTTCCCCATTTTGGCTTTGCACAATTATTTCATGTCATTTCAAACTTTTTGGTCCATTCATTCCCATGATTAATATCCAAGCTTGCTGAGGGGTAAAGACTCAACAATGAGATTGCCTGAGTTTCAGTAGCCATTATTAAACCAGTGGGGGAAGTCAGGCTTTTAATGATGTCACATATTGGTATAGAATCAACACTGATGTGTGACATTAAAATTGGTGTCGTCGCGATTAATCCATACATTGCGATATACATTGTCAAAGCTGATTCTGGCAATGTCTGAAACAAAACATCGATGTTTTTAAAAAAATTTAATTTGCTAAATGTCACCCTTTCTTATCTTATTTTGACGCGAATCGCTTACCTTTCTCATGTCTTATTTCATTTTCCAATGTTTTCCGATATTCTTTCGCTTTAAAACTATTTTAGCTAGTCGAAATGAACCATTAATCTAAAAACATTTACTTTACTTTCATTTCATCGTTACTAGAAGTTCCCGGATGTACCAGCATACTCTTATCAATTTGTTCTGTTCAGTATTTTAGTGCATTAGCGTTCGGTATTTCAGTGCACTTTTCTCGGGACTTTTTCTCGACATACATCGTGATGTGCATCGATGTTTACTACTGAAAATTGCCGATGCATCGATGTACGATTATGGCACATCGCGACAACACTGGTTAAAATATGGGACTGATGACATAGTTTTGTTATGTGATACAACATATCTTTGAATCACAGTCATATCATACGACTTCTTGTTGGTAATTGTCTTGATGATTTTCCATAAAAGTGGGCCTTAAGGAACCAGAAGTCATGTGAATGGTTCAAACCCGTTCCTATAGTACAAAGGGCTCCCACTTCGTTGGCGCTCTTTGTAAAAAGATTTTTTTAACGAAATGTCGTTTATGTCTGACATTAAAGTCAAATTATTGCGTCCATAGATTATTTACTCGAACCAAACAAGTAGAAATACAAAGATGAAGATCTCAGCTATAAATTAAGTGCAAAATCTGTCACAGGGAAGCAGGTACCACTTTACACAAGTAATGGTTTGAAAGGGGGTCACTTTTTTTGAGATTTTCCAATTTAGTGATGCATCATCTGAATTCTTCTTTGAGCCTATCCTACTACAAAACGATCTTGCCAACATGTGCTACAAATGATCAAGATATTGATCTTTTGGGCTGTTTATTTTGAATTTAGACTTATAAATTTCAAAAAATACCGAGATTTCGACTTTTCATTGTTGTAAAATATCGAGTTTCGATCCCGAGAGACAATCCTCCTTCAGCAGGCAGTTGATACCAGCACAAAAGCCAAGTAACATTCATATTAATTGATTGTTTTGATTCAAAATTTGAAAACAATTTATTTCAATTCAAAACTGAATTATTTTTTTTATCTTTATTAGAATTTCTTTCGTAAGATCCATGCAATTACCTGTCAGATTATCTTTCTTCAAATATGCAGCATAGCGTATAACGTATCATCGTTACATTTGAATAACAGTCAGTCCCCTAGTTAAAAGAAAAGATCAAAAATTTTAAAAATCGAGCCAAATTACCAACCGGAAGTGAATTTTATGTGGCGTGTCAGAAAAATTCATTCCGAGGCTAGCTTGATTACTTTGACGACCAAGAAAATCATCACAAAAGTTGTGTTATTTTTCACTTTTCTCCTTAGTTATTCAAACAAATTGAAGATGAGTAACGCAAATAAAAACAAGATGATCATGTGTGACAGATTACAAAAAATGACGCATTGTAAGTTGGCCAGATTATGCTGAAATTTAGTCGTTTTTTTGGACTTGAAAAAAGGCTGTGAAGAATTTTCCACATTTTTTTTATTTTAAAATCTTTATTTCTATTGATTCTGAAATAACATTATATCTGTATTGTTATTATTAAATCTGATTGTTCTGGAGAAAGATATCTCTAATGTAAATCCGTATCTGTATACCTGTATTTGTCTAAAAGAGCACAAGCAACTATATTTACATACGTTATTTGTTTCCTCAAGGTAGCCTAAATGTTTCCCTCCTCTGTGTTTTTATTACTTTAAGCTCATGACACGACTTTGAGGTGCCCTGGTGCTGCATGAAATGTATGCTGTTTACCTGCCTACACGATTCCTTCCTAATTCTTCTCTCCTCTTATTTGCTCATGGTCATCATTAGTTACCACTGGGGTTAATTCCTGTCTCTATGTCTTTCAGTTAATAAACACGAAATTGAACAACTATTCGATAAGTTTCAATGCATGTGCAAACTTACCATAAAAGACAAACCTGGAAAGATGGATAGATTGATGTTTCGGGACTTCATTCAAAATGACTTCAACATGACAGATGACATACTTATGGATAGAGGTAAAACTAATTTTATAATGACACATATACATTGTACATGTATCTCTTTGACTCCCCCACCCTTTATGCTCCCTATATATACCATGTGCTTGTTACAATTGAAAAAATCATGAAGACCAAAGCTACATTTGTGGTCATCTCACTGTTGATCAAAAGACAATTGAATGATTGATCAAAAGAGCCCAGTCGCGGTCTACATACTAAAGTCCACCAAAATTAAGACACATGATAACTTGTAGCATCAATAGAAGTTTTTTTCTTTTCAATATTATAGTTTCATAACTTTTATTTCAGTTTTCAAAGCCTATGACCTAGACAATGATTCATACATAAGTGTAGAGGAATGGATCAAGGGCCTGTCTGTTACACTGAAAGGTGGTCTTGAAGAAAAAATAAAGCGTAAGTGTTCTTTGTGTCAGTCAAATAAAAAGGTGTCAACTTTGTTCCTGATTTCTCCTCAAGGGAAAATCAATGGTACAAAATTTTGCATAACCGACCTCTAAATTAGAAAAGTAACCCGTTCACAGGAATATTTATTATATTGCTTTCATCACAAGAGTATGTATATACATGGGCTGTTAACTAGACCCTGCTCATAGGCATTTGATTGATTATGCAAATGAATTACATAGGGTTTCAATGGTTGATGTTTATTAATTCATCTTTGAAAATAAATTACATATTGTTTCAATGGTTAATTTTTTATCTCGTTTGAAAAAAATTACATATTTCAAGGGTTAATGTTTGTAAATTTATTTTGTTTGCAGATGTATTTGATGTTTATGATCTAAATGCTGATGGCTATATATCCAGAGAAGAAATGTTTCAAATGTTAAAGCAATGTTTAGTCAAGGTAAGTAGTAACAATTAATGTGAATCTTTAGTAAAGATATTGCCAGGACAATTCATTTTATACAATACTCCTTTCCATGTAAATAAATGTTAATAGTAAAATATTAGATGATTAAGTGGTCCAAATAGAACAAACTCATTTTGATACAAGTCTCTAATAGCTATCACTATGTTATTCCATGATGACACAAACTACTGTACATAACAATTTGTATGATTGTTTCCTAGCAACCAACAGAGGAAGATCCCGATGAAGGCATCAAAGACTTAGTGGAACTTGCACTTAAAAAATTGGTAAGACATTATTGATTTCTTTGTTGAATATGAATAACAGTTCATCATGTCCATGTACCCAGGTCCATAGCCAAGCAGCTATAATGCTGATAATATAATGCTGATAATGCCTTCAGCAAAGCCACTACAAGTGTACAATGTTTATGTATTGTATATATGTATTTGTAAAATAAGTTCTATGTATAAAAAAATGGCCGGCTTTTGTCTAGGGGGTCACTTTTCAGAAAAAAATATAATTAATTATAATTACATGAAAAATGGTCAGAATCATGAAAAACGGCATGATTTTGAAAGAATTTTGAATTCCCGAAATTTCATATATACAATAAGTTCTGCACATGCATGCACTTTATATCGATTTTGACTGCTGAACTAGTGCAAATGTTTTAAAAGTGAATGCAAATAGAATAAAAATATATTTATTTTAATTTTTCAGGATCTTGATCATGATTCTAAACTGTCATTTAAAGATTTTCATGATTCCATATCAGAGGAACCACTTCTACTAGAAGCATTTGGACCCTGTCTGCCAGATGAAAAGGTATAATTTATTTTCTAAATATTTTTTTTTGTAAACTAGTAATACCAGATGAAAAGGTAATGTTGCTGGTTACCTTACATTCAAAATAAAAAGAGAGAAAAAGGAACTGAGATACTTGATTAAATCAAGCTTTTAAAGATCTAATATGCAGAAATGTCAAAGTTCATTAATGTTAAAAAATAGATATCCTCTTTTTTCAAATTGTAACTACACAACCTTAAAATTAAAGAGAAATAAAATCTGAAACGTTAGATTTCTTTTGAAGATAGGCATGACACAAAATAAGGAAAAACTGTAGAATTGTGACATTTTTGGAAAGAACTCTCAACTCATTTTAATCTTTCTGCATCTTTTAAGAATTATAGCCTCAGTTAGACTTTTAGTGAAAATTTTCGAAGCCACAATGAAATTTTGTAAAATATTCAGTTCTGCAAAACGTTTCTCTGAAAGAACAGTCAATATATGCATTTAGTTACTAGGGGCATGAGTGAACCTCCATTTTTGATGGACAAAAATGATTTTTAAACACTTGCTAAGAAACTGTTCTTGAGGAATAAATGATAGTCAGACGATTGCAGGATTGCTTAGAAACTCCATTTACATGTACGATTCCCTTTTTAATTTTAATTTTTAATACTTTTAGGTCAACAAAATGTTTCAAGAAGGATTGAAAGAGGCAGTTGGAAACAGCCGTTAACAGATTTAAATCATAAATAACTTTAGGTTCATCTATAGTATGAGCTGCATGGACACGAAGAATCATACACATTTTTGTGGATTATTTTCTCTTGGACAGTATCATGGACCATAAAACATCTAGGTCACTCGTTAGATGACACACAATAATTGTTCACTTTCGATTATATCATTTATCACTTAATGTAACCTTTCTCATCTCACACTTCTTTACATTCACTATCACATATCACAGACTTTGTCATGCTGGTTTGTCATTTTAACATAATTGCTTAAATGTATTGTTTTAACATTTACACATATAACATGACTGTGTACATTTTAACATGACAGCTAACAATTCTTTTATATTTAGAGGCTGTTAGTATACCAACCATTGATATTGATGTAATCATTGATTTACATAGGAATGGAGAAGAACCCAGTTTTGCTTTTGCATCCTCCAAATGCAGGAATCCATACATCATCCACTTATGACATGTATGATGTCTGAACAACTCCTGTGTTTTGAGGATGCGTTTAGGTTAAAAACGAAATATTAGTACATCCCATCTGTAAGAGAATGATTGTTGCAAAAGCAATCAGACTTTTTTACTCCCATAATATGAATCTACATGTATGATGTGCTCCAGGAGACTATTTACTCATGCGGATTACTACTTGTGTGCCATCTATCTGAAATCAACAAAAATAGTCTTAACCACTATTATATAACATTTCTTTGTCTAACATTAGATCACAATGTCTGTGTTTACGTTTACCTCTAACAACCTTGTTTTTCTAACATTTATTTCCAGTGTTCCACACACTTCCTCGCCATGGTTGAGTCGCCCCAAAGATCTAAACATATCTAAGGCTACTTGTCTGATATCTATATAACAATGCTAATAGGACTGCAGTGCCACCTTTTGAGACTTTTCTAACTTAAATTTTGAAAATCATGTAATGCATTATGTGATGAACAGTTGAAATTGTAGTGTATGAGGAGCTGAAACTAATGGAAATTAACTGATTTAAAATATTGTGCTTCTTGAAATATGAAAAATATGAATTCAAGATGGCATAATCGTATTGTACATATGCAAATGTAAATACTGTATTGTATTTTTTTGAAATATGAGTCTAAATGTTAACTTTTTTAACATACCATGGGCTTTCTCTTGAAAGCCCATAAACATACTAGGCTAAGCTATTTATACTGTAAATCAATTATGGACTATTTTTTTTCAACTGATACAATGTCTTAGTTTTTTGCTCCAATGAAAAAAATCATCACAAAGGGGCCAGACAAAATACAACTTATCATGTAGGCCTATAGTTTACTTTTTGATAATTATTAAAAATAATGACACATTCTGCTCAAATTGTTCTTTCTTTGAAATGACCATAATATGAAAGCTAAAATTGTAACACAAACTTGTCTATATAAGCTTCATGTGTCAATTCAAATGCAAAGATATTCTTCATTCTTATTCTAAAATTTTGGTTATGTTTTAATATTTCAATAAGAAGGGAAAGATGAACCATTGTGGAATACTGTAACATAAATAGTAATGAATAAATTGTACAGAAATGCGAGAAAGTAATAATTAAAAGTATAAATGAATGACTACCTTGACCATTTTCAAATGGGAAACCTTATGTTTGTACATTTATTTGAAGTATTGTATAATATTTGTATGAAATATATTACTTTGAAAACAGAACACATTTTATGTTTCATTTTATGTATCATTGATTTGTTGTTTATGAAGAAAATATTGAGGACTAAGTTGTTTATGTTGGACAGTGGACATATACTCATACTGTACCTTGGGGTTTGTGTAAAAAACTGGGTGATCTGCCTGTCGTTGCAGTGGATACCCTGTCACAGAACACTCAATTTTTTACATAAAACCCCATATTTCATCATGAAGACACCTCATCCATATGTCCTTAAAACAAACAACATATTTCATTATAAAACATCTCATCCAGGTGTCTCATTTTTTACACAAAATTCATTTTTCATAATGAAAACACCTCATCCATATATGTTGTATGCCCCATTTTTTACACAAACCCCATATTTCATAATGAAAACACATCATTCATATGTTTCCCATTTTTTATATCCAAAACCCATATTTCATTGATTGAAAACACCTAATCCATATATCACATTTTTTACACAAACCCCATATTTCACCTCATCTATATGTCCCATTTTTTACACAAACCCCTTATTTCATCAGGTAAACACCTTATCCATATTTACTTAATTTGCACATAGCCATCTTTTAGTAAGTCTCCCAAGGGATAGCTTTGTGCAAACTAAGTAAATCCATATGTCCAATTTTTACACAAACCCTAAAGAAGATTCTCAATATAGATATGAGAATAGATTGTCTTATCATCATTGCCATGAAAATAAAATGAGCACGATCTTATCTACAGTTAAAATAACACGTGCATATTTGATTTATGAATGGTTTTTGAAATAATGATCAAGTGATGATTAAATCAATGGATCCCACCACCAAGATAAAATTATTGCACTAAACGAAACGATGACCCAGTGGAACGCTTGTATGCGCATGCGCAAATTAAATCTCAAACTATCAAGATGGCTACAGATTTCTCTCCTGAAAACATTAGAAAATTGCTCGAGTTTGGCAACTTGTAAGTATTGTAGTGATTTTATAACATTCACAAAGATACATGATATATTCAAGCATAATTTGGTATAGTATTTGAAAATGGCAACTCATTTGTTTTTGCATAAAACCATGCCCCAAAAATAGAAAATCTGGGAAAATTCATTTTCCATTTTTTCACACCTTTCACTTTCTTTTTGTAAACTTTCTTCCTTTTTTCGTTTTTTGTAAGAACTGCAGATAAATTTATAATATTACATATAAGTGAAGTCCAAATAGATTTCAGAAATGTTCAAAAGAAGATTCTAGAAGATTCTATGTTGATTGATTCATTTCTGAAAATTGAAAGCCACATCATCAACCATCAATGCTAATGGGGAGGGGGAAGTATCAGTTTCAAAAGTAAAAATTAAATTAAGTTCACTTAAAAAATCCTGTTTTCAAGCATAAATAATGATTCTAGGTTACGCCACGGGTCACACTTGGGCGATCCTTTTCCAGTTGTACTGACCCCCGCCTCGATAACAAAGTTGCTACAGCCTATGGGTAACCCTTATGGCTCAGAGCTAGAGCTTCGTACACTTGTGTAGAAGGTCCTGGGTTCAATTGGAAGAGGCAGTGAATTTAGAACACTCCCCATCAGTGTTCGCGCTAGCCATTTAAATTTCTGAGTCCCAGGGACGCAACACATTTGAAAAATGTGAGTCCAGTCTAATTTTTTTTGCGTCCCTCATATTTTGAAAGTGAAAGTGAAGTGGCCGATAATAGAGTGCTTACGCTAAAACGGGATAAAGTGACATATATTGTAATTCTATGCATTCTCCCGATAAATATCTATCATTTGGTCCTTTTCACACAATTCTTTACTAATGTTATACCAAAATTCTCCGAAATGAATGAAAAAAATACTCAAATTAAGAGTTGTTTTCACATTTTACCAACCACCGATCTTCAAGGTCGTGAACTTTTTGTTTCTTTTTATAACATTTCTCCTTACTCTGACGACTTTTGGATGAAAAACGTTGATCTATCATTAAATAATTATATTGATGTATAACATTAGATCGGTATCTAACGATTCTTAGTGGAAGTAAGCTTAACTAAGATATCGTGAAAAACAAGTCTCAATTCTCAATTTTGAAACTAATGTTTGCGTACAACAGATTATCCAGCTTTGGTATACTCCGGAATGACTCGGAGGGCACCATAGCCAATCAAATGCTGTGTTTCAGACTAGAAACCCCGCGAATATACTGAGACACTCCGGTAGCCAATCAGATTTGCCGACATAAACATTATTGAGATCAAGGAAGTAGACGATTTGAAAATTCTTCAGAAAATCATGTTTTATCACTTCTACGCTGCAGTAAAAGTTACCTGATGGTGGTGTAGAATCTTTGCGTCCCAGGGACGTAAGTTATTTCTGATTTTCCCGTCCGACCTCTTGAAATTTCCGTAAAAACGAGAAAAAACTGCGTCAACGCGAACACTGCCCCATGTCCAGTATCTAGTTTGTTACACTTAGGCTCTCTGCAGGCGCATTTGGGTCATTATAGTTCATTGAAGTCAGAAGTGAAATTTGTCCTTGTGTATCTGCATTATGACAATATCAAAATTGAAGTCATCTGCATTGTGACGAGTGGTGACATATAGTTATAGTCTCCGACTTTTCACGGATGCTGTTCGGGATTTGGCATCTGTAACAAATTCTTATAACTTCTAATAACTGGTGTAGACATTTTGTCATGTTACAAGTATAACTTTGGCTTAAGAGTTTGATCACTTAACTATTATGTCTTGACTTAATTTCTAAATATTTTGAACATGCCCTGCTATATTTAATAAGCTGGGATACATATACCCCCACATTTTCCAAATGTAGAAAATTCACAATGTCAAAATAAAGTCATCTCTTTTATCATCTTAGAATATATGTTGTTATCTATTTCAATGCTAATTAGAAGGCCAAGATAAGGCAAACTCATGTTAGATTCATTAGTATTTTTCAACTACATGTATAGCGCCCTATAGCAGCATATATTTCACTTACAAAATCTTTAGATTTAGGGTCGTCTAAATTTAAACACGATAATCTAGATATTTGTCTTATTAAATGGCCAATGATACTGTTGATTTGAAGTGAATGATATTTTTAGGATAAATGATCTAGGCAATAAGTCACATTTTTAGAATATGCCAATATTTTATTGTGTTTCACTTCATACAGCCCAGTCATGTTGTCTTTTGGAACAACCAATCAAATTAAAGAACCAATCAAAATGGTGAATGAAATATTACATTGACTTTTGGTTATCAAGTGTTGTTTCAGTTATTGAATTCTTTTCAAGCTTTTCATTCTTCAACTCTACCACTTTTGCTTTTACATTATCCGGAAAATCCTTGCTCCCAATTTTTCATTGGTACTTTTTACATAGCAGAGTTGATGTCTTTGTTCTGAAACATGTTGAAAAAAGCTATGTAATGAATGGTTTAGTGTCTGTGTTACTCATTCTGCTTTCTAATGCAATTAGATTATTGTCTATAATACTTTCAGGGAAAAGCCAGTACAAAAACATTTGAAGAATGTCTACAGTTGCCTTGCTATTTCTATGATGAGTGCGGCTGTGGGGGCCTATCTCACAGTCTTCATGGGAATCATGCAGGTAAGTTTAGGATCATCCAGTGTAATGATTGCTCTGATTATTGTCTCTTGTGGTTCCATGATTCTACTTTTAGTAAGCATAGAGTCAGCGCCATGTCTGATCTACAAGATCATGTCATGGTCACTGTTATCGTATTAGTGAGTGCCCCTTTAATGGGAAATTTGAGACAGCATTGCCAACCAGAATCTTTTAGATGCATCTTGGTGCAATCTATACTCAGATCTATTAAATTACAGCTGGGAAATTGTAACTTTTTGAATCTAGTGGGAATGGCGTTATCAAAAACAATCAAGTTTTTAAATCCCTTTTGCCCTTCTAGACATCCTTATTATAGACTGTGTTATGTGTAATATGAAATCAACAACTACTTCTGGATTATAACTCTGTAATATCGTATGTACATGCTAAGTAGATTAGCTTGCGTTAAACTCATGTTTTGTATTTGATATTATCACACATTTTTTATTAATACATGTCACCGTGATCTTGTTTTGAAATGCAAGAGTGGGATCTATATATGGATTAAATAGGCATATCACTAATATTGATCATATGAGAATTTTGCAATGAAATCTAGGGGCCCAAAAATGATAAGATTATTGTAATTATGGGCAGTGGCGACGTCGGCGTCTGAGAAATAGGCCATGCAACTTGAAGATAAAGATGAGATAGCCCTACAATTGGTTATCATTTTTAGAGTTTCAGTAAAAAGTGTCTCAATATTACTATTTCTGTAAAATGTTGGAGAGGCAGATGGCTTGCATGCTTGGCAATTTCCATAGAGAATCTACACACTGTTCAGCGATCTCCCCACATTGAAATCTCAGGTGGAGAACCCCCATGTATTTTATAAAACCAAAATGTTCTCAATGCAATTAGATGCACCTCCAAGTGTTATGATAAAAAAAATTACAAAATTGCAAAATGTTGCTCAAATGTTACAAAATTTTCCACTAAAAAATAACAAAATCCTCCTCAGAAAAAATTCTGGTGAGGGCACTGCTGTTATGTTCAAAATAACTTTATTTCTTAATATCAGAAACCTGGCGCCATTTGCATGTTAATAATTTTTGTAACGCATCATGTGATACCATATTTACTTCCTGGTTATATACATACTGTCTAGGCATTAGTAAAACTGTTGTTATTAGAAATATACCATTTAGATATATGGGGTTAGTCTAACCTTTTTTTTGTTGAAAATATATTTGTAATGTAATATTCGTTTTGGGTTATCAGTCTATCAGACTATTGCATAGTATTTTATCATAGTTTTCAATGATATGGCATTTTCATGCAAAGCAGGGCAGAATCTACCCTTTGCATTTGTTTGACTTCACTTCTTAAAAGAGAGCTTCATCTTCACTCTTTCAAACTAAAATAAACCAGTGAACTCACCGCGCCAATCAGTGTTCGCCGGCCAAATTTGACCGAAGTTCTATATATGGTCATTCCTTCTGACATCATCGTTGAGCCCGGAATTGACCAATGACATGTGCATAATTAATTAGAACACATTTGGCGTATGTTTCTTCAAGCTCGCTGATTGGTGGAAGAAAGGTCAGCGCGTAGGTCAAAAGTGGTTTATTACCCAAACTGTCACCGGTACCCATCGTGGGGGTGGGGCTACTAAACTGTAATATAGTCTCTACTAGGCAGAGTGTAGTTTAACTAGACTTTGCATGCAGGGTAGGCAGAATTTTGATGCTGGGATAGAAAAAAACATTGAGTTATTTATGTATGAACGCTGCCATCTTGCTGTATTTTGGGACCCACTTTTCAGACTTTATTGAAAACACTGATAGTATTCATTGATTCTCTTCACCTGGTAATTCTTTTGTTAATACGATGGGTCCTGTCATTGGATATTGCTCAAATTATTGGGTCAGATTATCATGTATTTGGTCAAATATATACCCTGTTTGCTGTACTGCAGTTGTACAGTGACTGCAGATTTATTAAATATATACATCGTGCTGCTTATATTTTATGCTGCATATTCTCTCAATTTTGGGAAGCTTACAGCTGCTGTATGGTTGCTGTAGATCAAATATGACTGAGGCACAAATCATGTTGTCCCTGACCTTTCTGCCACCTTAATATTTCTTTATTTAATTCCAGGGTGGATTCCTTACATGCATTATCAGCCTTGGGTTGTTGTTCTGGCTTTTTTCTACCCCCCATAACCGTGAAAATGTACCTAAACGACTTGGCATAATGGGAGCATTCGCTCTTTTCACAGGTAAGATTATAACATAAAAGAATAATGTCCACTCATTTTTGCACCAACACATTTACATACAAGGACGATTGGCTCCCAGGGACGCAACTCAATATTCTTCCATATATGGGTAATACATAGTCTTGTTATGAAATACAAAATTCAAAATCAAGAATATCGGCCGTTCTACATATTTGCAGCCATACAAATATACAGGCAAGAATAGCAATATCGCATCAAGTTGGAACCCTGGCTTCCAATCCTCCTTGTTTACATATGTATTAACTAGAACATTACTGACATCATTTATTTATAGAAAACTGCTTTTACTTTAAATATTTCAGTGCATTTCGTATTTTATTGAAATTATTGAGATAAAAGGCCACTAAAATAAAAATTAAAACCATAGTCATAATAACTCCCAGAGAAAGTGCTTTCAATTTCATTTTATGACATGTGTCGTAAAATTTTCACTCAGTTCAGTGCACTTTTTGCTTTTATTATTTTAATCTTTAGCTTTATATTGACATTGTTTTATGCGTTAATATGAGGTGAAAAATATGTACTTCTTTCTGAGTTGGCATAAGGCAAATGTATCTTGTAATAAAACGTTGTATATGACGTTGGATTTGTTATGTAATAACTCTTAGTAATAATGGTCTCAACTATACATTATGTCTGATGTGACGTTATTTTCAAAATGATGTTACAAAAACACCTCACGTAACTACAGAATATAATAAAAAGGATAAATCCACAGATTTTTGTTGTAATATATTTATTGAACTTGTGTTATGACACCATCACAAGTAGTGACATATTGTTATTGTTTTCAATGTGGATGGCAGTCAGTGGTTGGTGTTCAGCATCTGTGACAAATGACAGGTGGTGACATTTTGCATGTTAATGCCTTGTATTTGTCTACATATAATATGAACTTTATTGTGTATTTCTGTATTGCAGGCTTTTCTCTTGGCCCAATTTTAAATGCCGTGATGTACATTGACAGTTCCATTGTACCAACTGCATTCCTTGGAACCTGCGTGATATTCATCTGCTTCTCTGTGTGCTCTCTCCTCAGTCCCAACAGGAAATGGCTCTATCTTGGTGGTAAGAATTTAAATAGAAATCACATTGTAAATCCTTTTGAGAAAAGGACTGGACAATTTATCCGTGTCATTCATCATATTTATATGACATGTTCCGTGAATTCATGTGGTCTGAGACCTCATCCAAATAAGTTAATCTGTATCTGTATTACATCGGGGATATCAGCACTGGGGCCAACCTCTCTTAAGTGTCTCTTTCAGGACTTTCATCGTTATGAGCCCCATATTCTGTTGTGTTTGAACTAACAATATTATGAGCTTTATTTTCGAATAAGTTTTATCTTTTAGGATAAATCTTGGATTATTGATCTGGATAAATAATTGGTGAATTGGTACAATCCTAGAATGGGGGGTTCCCCAAGATCTATTCAAATTACATTGGATTTAGAATTTTTATCCTAAAATTAAACGTAGGTTGATTGAGATTAGGATAAGAAATATCCCTGAAGGTCATGAATTCACCAATGTTAGGATAAATTCCATATTAATACCATATTGGATCATTACCATGAAAAAATTTATCCGGATTATCTCTCCATTCCTGCTTATTCACTGCCCAAGGAGATTTTCTGAGAATTTACTTCTTTTCTTCAGTGTCATCAAATATTGTTGGTTCTGTGTATGGGGGAATGTTTATTTATGTATGCAATCAATTCCTATATTTTAAATACAAAGTGTATACTGTATATTAACTTTTACTTAAATGCAAGAAAAATGTCACAGTTTTATTTATTTTTTCAGGATCTTTATTCTCTGGACTCTCCATCCTTCTTCTGCTTGGGCTCCTAAACCTTTTCATTGGATCCCAGCTTATCTTTGAGGTAAGTTTGTAATATACACAAGTGTGGTAGCTATAAACTCATCAGTGGACAAATGGTTTGTCTGAAGAGAATTAGCCCAGAGTGTGATTTGAGATACAAAGCTTCAAAAAACAAGACCGAAGAAAAGTTGATACGAGTAGAGAGACATATTGTAATTAAATCCTGTATTAGATGGATTAAATCCAACCTTTGAGACTTGAAACCGATGCAGCATAGCATGCATTCAGCATAATTTCTGAAAATATAATATAAACCAAAATCAAGTCCTTAGTACACTTTGCACAATATGCTCTACTTATAATCCCCATTTATAAGTCTATTTCGGCTTATTTTTTAAATAACATATTAAAGCACACTCTGTTTATTTCAGCTGAGACTATACCTGGGCCTTGGAATCATGTGCGCCTTTGTCCTTTACGACACCCAGCTCATTGTAGAAAAATGCCGCAGAGGAGATGAAGATTTTATCTGGCACAGCATCGACCTCTTCATTGACTTTATCCAGATTTTCCAAAAACTCATGATCATCCTGGCTAACAAGGTACATTTATGAGTTAGGTGTTGAGTCAGAATATAGTTTTTCCCAAATATTCCTAATGTGCTCTATATGAGATTTTTGATTCCTCTCATGTAAGAACCGTGGAATTTTGATTGGTCCTTACAGATCTAAGAGATCTCTCGTAAGCAATACAGATGAATTGATGTAGATGATGAAGGCTAGCTCAACCTTGTCTTTCTTTAAGACCACCAAAACTTAAATAATTCAACTAAGGTTAATTTTTTTTAAGTTTATATAATGTAAGGTTACATGATAATACAGTTAATACAAATATAATTAGGGTCGCTCATTTTTTATAAGAATGTATATAAGGGAGGTTAATTTTGTAATTTCAGGAAAACAAGAAGAAGAGGAGGGACTAAGCTGTTCTTCTAAACTGTTTTACACTGGATTTATAAACTTTATTTGAAATACCCCAAGGAAACAACCTCACAACCAGGACACACCCTGAATCCCAGGAAATATCTTGATCCCTGAGAAACTTCCGTACTCCTGGCATCACTTGGTTCTGAAACAAACTTGAGAAAATTGATATGCCATTGCTCATCTTTGACTGAAGTATTTATCCATAAAGAAATACATGAGGCATTCTATATGGAGTAGTTTGAAATTTGATGACTGGTATATTATGCTTGTACTTTCATAAAATGAAGCTGTAATATTTTTAACCAACTTTATCGAAGTATTTATTCCATATAAGATGTGCAATGGTGTATATTTCAAACATTAAAATCATGGATATCGCGACACAGACTGTTGAAATAAGGATATATCAATATATTTTACATTTAATAACTCCATGGAACTAATACAGAACTAATAGTATTACCCTATCTAACATGCTTATATTTTGTATTGCACTGTTGGCTTGGAAAAGTATTATTTTTGGAAAGGGTATATAACTATAGTGTATGAAAGACAAAATGAAGTAATATAAACGCTTTTGAGTTAACACAATTCTGTGCTTATTTTTCAGTGTTGTGATGTCAAAAAGATGTACATAATATCCTAGATTTATAATTGAATCATACACAGAAATTTTACTCCTTTGTTCAAATGATTGTAATTACTATTTTGTTTATAATTTTGACAAAATTTTGTTATGTGATGAAAATTTTATTTTGTTTTTTTCTTGTTCTTGATTATTGTATTCAGAATTATTGAATGAATAAATTTCTGGAACCTTTAAACATTATAGTTTTATGTTTAATTTAAACTACTGCTTTGTAGACCTGAAAGTATTAAAGCACAACTGAAATAGTAATTGAGACATAAAGTAATTTTATTTAAGGAATAAACAATGATAGTCCATTTCAATAGGGTGAAATTCAGCACGAGTTGAACAGAATGTCATAAAGAGCACAAACTGAAGGTGCATTTCTACTGCTATGCTACATTCTGATTGGTTGTGAAAATTAGAGAATGGTCATTTTTGAATTAACAATGAATGTAATTGGACATGACATCTAATCAGTAATGTGGCAACTGCTTTATTCTAATGAGCATGCTAGTTGTTTAATAAACTAGAATAGTAAGCAATTTTTGACGTATTTTGGCCATCACATGGCCCATTTTGGTGAAATCATAATACCAAAATGTTTTGCTATTTGTTTACACAACAATTGGAACTATGACGATGTGATGAGATTACCAAGAAACCAATAAATCAGAATCATAAATCGTGTATGACGTTACTGATCACGTGGGGGTCAATCTGACTGATCCATCTTGTTATGTTAATTATCATTTCTTAATACTTATATAATGGTTATCGCGAGAACTCTACGTTTGGCTTACAATGCAGAAAACTGAATTTTTATAGCTGCAAGTTAAGAAAACCTACCGTATTTCAGTTGTCCTTTTAGAATTTAGGAAATAAATTAATTCAGAACCCATGTTAATTCTGGTATTGATTTAAAGATGGCGTCCATGTTCAACTTGATAGTTTTTACCACATGAAGCTTCTTTGCTATTAGGTTCATCAATTCTCTGAATGACTAGCCCGTATGGTTACAATGCTTTGGATAACTAACTTTTTGGTCTTAGAAAGGGGATGGGGTGAATGTGGTGACACTAAAGCATGGGCTTTCAACTAGATGAAAGCCCATGACTAAAGTAAATAAATTACATATCAGTGACTTACTCGAGTCTCTAGCTAACTTAGGCTAGCTTTACTCGAGTCTCTAGCCAATACTTGATACAGTGGCCTTAGAAGAAGGTAAGGCTAGCTAGGCTTTGAACTTACTCTACCAAGCTGACAGAAGTGTCTTTTGAGCCAACTGTGTTCAGTAACTTTGGACCTAAGTAATCATTGACAAACTAGAGGGATTAGAACATATAGAAGGGACGGAGACGATTGAGACTAAGTTGTCAAATTTGTTTATGTTTCATTGCATAACCAAACCTAAGACAAAGAAAAGAATCTTCATCATAGATCAAATAAATTAGTAACGAAACGATCCTTTAAAATCCCCGGTTAACTGTCTATTACACCGGAGGAAATGAAACCACTTAGTAATTGAGCAACATCCGGGTACTGTAAAGTTGGCATTCCGATAGAAAGAGGGATTTACAAATCTGTTCACAAAACATCGATTATCTCCTCAATTATTCATTACAGTCAACGGTAACTTTGTGAACACTTACCTCGATATTATAAACACCATATGACTCTTGGAAAATAATGGGTAAGTAGATTTGCATTTGTAAAAAGCGTCGAAAGTTCAACAAACAATTTGATGGATTATTTTTCAAGTTCAATTGTTTTTCCCCGGGAATTATTTTGACAATATTATAAATGTTGTGACTTTATAGATGATTTTTCTATGCCTGTCTGGTCATACAGTTATATTGTTTTTGTCGTTTCTGAAATAACACATAGAAGGTTACGTCTGAGTGTGCTGTAGCTGGAATTCTATTTTTTGAGCCAAGTTGTCACACAGATCTATTTGTTCGCTTCTACAGTTCGGGACATAAATAAATGACAGGTGGATTTGCTGAAGTGAGAATTTCCCATGTTAAAAATAAGAGAATTTTCAAGAGGCCATACATCAGTGGATGAGATTATACAAAATGTGAAATATACAAATTTTAAGGGATATGTATCTAGACAATATTGGAAATTATGGGCTTTCAGACGACCATAATTAGGAAATGGTGATCGAAAATCGACCTGTCATTTATTTTTGTCCCCAACTGTAGCTCAAAACCAAAACCATGTACATGCTAAAATAGTATACCACCCTTTGCATTAATTCGGCTTCACTTCTTAAAAGAGAGCTTTGTCTCTATGATCTTTCAGTTTAAATCTCTGAACTCACCGAGCCAAGTTTGTCGTCGAAATACGGATGCCTTTCTCATTTCGTCTGACGTCATCGCATAGTAATGAGTACACATTTAGCACATGTTCCTTCCAGCTTGCTGATTGGTTGAGAAAAAGTCAGCATGGTAGGGCTGTTATGGGCACCAATTGTGAGGGTGGGCTGCTAAACTGTGATATCATTTCAGTGTTCTCCCCAAAAAAAATTTTCAACTGGGTGCAAGATTTCAAGTCTGAAAAATCAGCACTTGCTATGCTCACAATATCTCAGTGTAGGTGCTTACTTCACTCATTTTTCAAATCAGAAGTTGAAGTGCAGATTCCAACTGGGTGCCACTGGGGGGCCTTTGGTTTCAAGTAGGGGGAGCCCCCGGTAAAAGTGACATGGGGAGATCACTGCATTTATATTCTAGGCAGATTGTAGTTTTATAACTAAGCTCTGTGTGCAGGGTAAATTATACCTAATTAGGTTATGAATTTAGAATTGATTTGTAATTGATTGCTTATTTTTTACTAAGTGTGAAACAAGGTTATTGTGATTCGAACATTACTGGAATCCTTGTAGTCTGTTCACACTATGGGAGAATTTTCCACATTTACCATGTGGGCCCAGTATCCATGGTACTATTTATTTCAATTTTGGGACATTTCTGAATCTTAAATACTCAATAACTACCGGCATGTTATATTTGTTACGCTGTATTTGGCATATATTCATGGTTGCGCGGTATTTGTGATACGGGTGAATGTGCCATACTTACCTGCGGTATATGGCATATTCCGCAGGTGAGTATGCGATATTCCGCAGTGAATATGCGATATTCCGCAGTGAATATGCGATACATTGATTTCAGTGAATACCCGATATGTCATACTCACTTGCGAAATATGCCATATACCGCAGGTGAATATGACATATACGGCAAGTGAAAACGTGATACAGAAAGCCTTGATTTGATTGGTTGCAAGAATCGCCTCTAAATGTAAAACTACGCTGGATTTCCAATATACTTAGTGCGTCGAGTACTAATATATGAATCCTGGATTGATTGAGTAAGTTTATTACGCGAGATTGGTGACTTATACTTCTGCTAAGTTGATATATTCGATACACAGTACTGTTGATTCAGTAATCATTATAATAATTTATAACGTTTTACTTGTTCGTTCAATCGATGCAATTGACAATTGCGTACTTCCGTATCACGTTCTCATTGGTTAGCGTGTATGCCATATACCGCAGTAATAATATTCACATTTTCAATCATTTTCAAGTAAACCTCACATTTTCCATGTATTTGGTTAAAAGTTTCATTATGGCATGTTAATGACCAGAACTTGGTTTACATAATAGTGCAATTTTTTGTGCGTTTTGTATTTTAATGCAATTATTGTTTTTGAAAACTAGTTTTTAGATGATTTTCAATGATTTATTTTAACATATGTTTATCTCAAAAAGTGACTATATATGCATTGATGTATAATTATGGCACTTATATCATGTCCAAATGATTATATCTTCAAGATGGAAAAATTCCTTATGACCAGAGCTAAAGGAATATCCTTGCTACTGCTACTGCAACAGGTAGATCGAGCTGAAGAAATGCAGAAATGTATTGATTCTTTCTGATTAAGAATCTGGTTTCAACAGACCTGTTTCCGAACTTAATTTGTTCAAACATTTATAATAACTTGAGCACATACCTCTAACAATAGCTATAGAGGTAATCAATATAATTCCCTTACAAATAATTCAAGGGTTTTAGTACATGTATTTGAAGGATGAATATATAGGTATGAAATTCCAGAATTTACTATGAATTTGTAGAGCTCTCAATTAATTCCCTTTCTAGTTTATTCACATGTTTCACACATCTAGAAAACATTGTTCTGGTTAAATGTCATTTTTTGCAAGGGTATCTGGATTGAAACTCCTTGATATGTTAACACTGACAGATGTCATAACAGGTAGATTAGCCTCAGGGTTTTCATTAGAAGCATGCAACAGGTGAATTTATTTGGTCTGTTTTTGTTTTGAGAAATTTAGCAATTTTGCAACTGTTTCTATGTAAAATCATCCTTTTTTATTTTTAATTAGATGTCCTGACTATAAAACAGATCCCTCAGTTTTTTATGTGATCCCAAGAGTATGAATGCTGACCAGCTAGATACCTACTTTGAAAAGAAAACAAGTTTACTTTTAAAATCGTG